TCTGTCCCCTTTTCCTGATCCATTATAATGACCAATATTGAGCTGTCTTCGACCAAAATGAAGTATTTTGCTTAGGTACAAACTAAACATGGTACTTCTTCAACCTTTATTTTGTCATACATTGCTGATAAAACACCATAGTCATGATCATCTACAACAAAACCCTTTACACAGATATATGATTGTAAAACACAGAAGGGAAAATGAGAAATGGCAATTTGTGGAGAATCCCTGGGGTAGAAAGCTGATGAGTAGCATAACTGTTCTACTTACATGCACTTATCAATTTCATTAATTAAGGAAAAGACACATCAATCACAAGATAGAAACATTATGTTTTAATCACATTACTGTCCCGAAGTGAAATACAAAAAATGGCGTACAGAGGATGACTTTAAACAAATGCTTTGAATTGAGGATCCATTATTGAAAATTCCTACTGGAGCAGTAGTCTTTTGCCCAAATGACATCAAATCTGCATTAAACCAGTATTTTGCTGTTGGACAAGTGGACATACAGACAAAGATAAAAACAAAAAAAGAGCTTTATATCTCTATTTATTGTTGCTAATTGATGTAATAATATGGATATCATTCAGGTATCAGAAAATTAAAGTGACATTTGAAAATATATTAATTTGTACTTATAGCTTATATTGGATGTTTATTTTTGCTCATTCTGTATAGTGGATGTCATATACTATAGGATAAAGAGGTCAGATAATAATTTAGAATAAAAACAAAAGTCAGGATATCACCTAGGATAAACAGGTTTAATAAGTTGAGACATCCCCTAGAATAAAGGAGGTCCTGATTCACCTTTACTGAAAACATCCTGGTTAAATAAAAATAAAAAAATAATAAAAATAAATTAAAAATATAAAATGATGATGCAGTTATTTTTTCAGAAGAAGCAAATTTTCACTGGTCTTGTTATTTGGTATCTTATTTATGTAGTAAAACCACACTTAGAGTCAAAGTAACCAGTTGGATACGATAAACCAATGATTAATAGACATTTAATGTGAGTTTCAATGTTTTGTGTTAGGTTACTACACACAAATCTTTGCTTAGCCTGGTTACAATGAACTATGAATTGAACACCATCAGTCTCTGTTAAAAGAATGTAGATTATGTTGGGCTTTACTTGTTTCAACTTTTCCAATGTACCTGTCAAAGCCAAAGTAAATCAGACAGTTAAGAAGCCAACACATGATGACGTGACATGAAGCCAACATTTGACACAAGAACCCATATGTTGATACCAAATCCCTTCAAGAAACTAATGGTTATGAAACCAATATACGATGACACAACAGCCAGACATGTTAATACTCCTAGATTATGTAGGGAATGAATTGAAATTATGCAGCAAAAAAAGAAAATTATGCAGGGGGAAGTGCAAATTTTGCAGCAAATTATGCACACATGTTAAAGGAAAATTAAAATATCGTCGATTAATTCTACACATGTTTAATAAGTTAATCAAATGTGGCTACATTTTGCTTAACTAGATAACAAACAAACTAATGATACCAAAGTGAGTGAAAATTTTGTGATACAGCATGATAGTCTTACATGTAGACCAGCGGCAACTTCCTCTAGGCAATCTCATGAAATTGGGACATTTTTGGCTTTTTCAGAATTTTTGTCTTGAGATTGATGAAGCGGTGAAACACCAGGTGAGATCTTTAAGCAAAATGTAACTGAAAATAGTACACAATTTATGCACTGATTAACAAAATTATGCAGCATCTTCAGAACTTCAAAATTATACCAAAAAATTACATATGCACAGCATAGACACGTAATCTTATAGGAGCTGTGATATGAGTCATTCATAATTCTTATTTTATTCTTATAATTCTATATTTTAATATTGTCTTCGAGTCTAATATTTCCAAGGGAGACTGTTTTGTATCTAATTTCAGGGAGAGAGGTGCCTTGTTGGGGTATTTCAGGGAAATGGATACGGTATTGTTTTGAAATCCGCTGATGGCAAAATAGGGGATAGACCAAGGCTCTTTGGGAGTTTGTCTTAACTTTGATTATTTGGATAGTAACAAGCAAGTAGCAAGTAAAATGAGCCAAAAAGGCTGTACATATCTCAGCTCTAAGCACACAATCTTTCATAATCCCCAATCATTCCTTATTCAGCTGATTTACCAAAACATATTCATATCATGACAAACATCCCTTGAACTTGTGATTCACCAATCACACTAGTATTCACTAGTTCTAGTTGTTTTGAAATCCGCTGATGGCAAAATAGGGGATGGACCAAGACTCTTTGGAAGTTTGACTAACTTTGATTATTTGGATAGTAACCATGGTATGCAAGTAAAATGAGCCAAAAAGGCTATACATATCTCAGCTCTAAGCACACAATCTTTTATAATCCCCAATTATTCCTTATTCAGCTGATTTACCAAAACATATTCATATCATGACAAACATCCCTTGAACTTGTGATTCACCAATCGCACTAGTATTTACAAAAAGTCCTAGTAGCTCCTTACCTATTGGCTGATATGTTTTGAAGATTGTGAAACTGAATTGTGAAATCGCCACAATAAGAGTGTAAATATTGACTAGCATATATCACAGTTCAAGGCTAAAAGCTATTTACTATAAAGACAACAAAGCTATTGATATTATACAGGTGTATATCATATCTAGAGGTTTTTTAGTGCTACAAATGTCACGTTTTGGTGTTAGTGTTTTTCAGATTCAAAGCTCTAGTCTTATCAAGAGGATGAGGAAGTTTTGAAAGCAGTTTCCGTTAATTCCAGTGAGTTAACAGCAAGAAAATATCAATTCAAGGAAATATCCAGAATCTTCTCAAACTGAAACTTTATAAATCTGAAACTGAGTACAAACGTAACAACCAGGAATCACATTAGCTTTTATTATCTAACCCACTCTCTGTATCTGTTTATTAGTTAATGCAGTTCATCCAAGATTAATTAATTAAACTCCCACATAGGTTTATTTAAAGTTCTATTGATTTTTCTGAATGTATGATAGTTGTTTATGTAAATGGAGTGAATAGAACAATATGTAAATTGTAGTAAATGCTCAGGCAGTTGTGCAGTCAATTATAATTTCAAACAATGTTTATACATCAAATGTTATTGGTGATGAATTTTATTTGATATTAAAATGTTAGGTACATGGTGATTGGGTCCCTCATGTTTGATTTTAACTTGACGTTTGTTATTGGTGATGAATTTTATTTGATATTAAAATGTTCATGTACACGGTGATTGGGTCCCTTATGTTAGTTTTTGGTGATGAATTTCATTTGATATTAAAATGTTAGGTACATGGTGATTGGGTCCCTTATGTTTGATTTTAACTTGACGTTTGTTATTGGTGATGAATTTTATTTGATATTAAAATGTTCATGTACACGGTGATTGGGTCCCTTATGTTTGTTTTTGGTGATGAATTTCATTTGATATTAAAATGTTAGGTACATGGTGATTGGGTCCCTTATGTTTGATTTTAACCTGATGTTTGTTATTGGTGATGAATTTCATTTGATATTAAAATGTTCATGTACATGGTGATTGGGTCCCTCATGTTTGATCTTAACTTGATTAACTAATTTTTTTAAAATCTGTTTTATTACATTATAGCTAAATATAATAATTATATTAACTAATGATTAACTAATGGCAATAAAATATATATATACAATTATTACAATGGTCAACTTATGAGAACAAAGATAAAAAGTTGCAAGTTCCCCGTTAAGCCAAGGTTTTTAGGAAAGCAACTAAATATAAATATCAATTTAAATGATTCTTTAAATTTCTGTTAAACATATTGTATTGGTTAATGTTAAAGGACCTCAGGTGTTTGATAATGTTAAAGGACCTCAGGTGATAGGTGTTACGGACTGTGTACAGAATAGGTATGATAAAGATGCTGTGTATGAATATAACTGTTAATTGTAATATTATGTAAACACATGAAATTCAAATCAACTTTTCAACCAAATAACATATGTGTAGGCCCAACAAATCTATTATTGAGCATACATTCCACCCACTCAACAGACCACTCAGATGAAAAAACATATTTTTAGAAATCATGAGGATAAACCTTAAACTTCCTAAAAAGAGATATACAGCAAAACCTGTGTATATTGAACATTTTTTTGCTGACAAAAAATGTTCAGTGTTGGTAGAAGTTCACAACAGAGGGGGTAATTTATACAGAAGTCAGTTAAAGTAGAGTATGCGTGGAGGAAGGGTGTACACTAGAGACAGGTGTTCACTAGCGAAAGTGGTGCTCAGTAAGACAGGTTTTACTTACTTTAACTAAACTCTAGTCTTAAAATTACATATAGCCCATTCTGGTACTCATCATTTCTTTATCTTAACAGCAAAATCTTAGAACTGAGAAGAAAAGCCTAAGTCCATTACATTAGTAAATGTAATCAGAATGTCAGGACTATATTGTTGCCAACAATGTCGATCTGACATCCAAACTCTAAATATACATTTGAAATTGTTAAGATCATACTGGCATCAAACTGTCAAAGGCTGGCTGATAGGAGACATATAGATTATCTTATAAGAGGTTCAGGATATTATTGAGATTATCCCGAGGCCAATATAATACAGTGATCTCCCCAGCATTAAAGCAAGTGGGCGAAACAATCACTGAGATTTTCAAAACAGGCTTGCATCCACCTTAAAATCTATTTGCACCCACTTGAAAATGAGAACAATCTTTAAAAGAATTGCATATTTTGACAAATTTTGGTCTGATTTGTGAAAATGAGAATTTTGCACCCACCTGAGAAAAAATCCTGCGGAGAACCCTGATATATCTGCCTGAGGGTGTATGATACATGTAGTATCCTGCCTGCTCATAAATACAACTCTACAAACCTGCTTTATGTGTTTCAAACACGTCCAAGTATGGGATAACTTGGGACACAGTGGCTATTTAACCTAAACTAACCAACAAAGCAAGCAAATTACTCACCTGACGATCTTCCTTGGTCTGGGAATGTGGTCTTTCTTGAGGAACTGTTCTAGAACTTTCATGCAGGCATCAATCACTTCATCATCTGTCAGGCTTTCCATATATTGGGCAGCCTTTCCACTGATCCAACCTGAAAACAATACAGACAGCATTGGTTAACATCTTTGAGAGCCCGAGAGGATAGAATGGGAAAACAGAACATGGGTTTATTGGGTTGGGTAGTACGTGACGGAATTGGATAAATGGAAGATTATTCTTTCATATAAATTTTGGGGGTAAATGACAAGTTTCACAGAGAAGAGAACGATGGTCTAGATATGAAATGATCGGAAAATAAAAAGGAACTTTTTAAGCATTGTGGAAGAGGCTGACAGTGAGTGGGGGAATTATTCATACCTAGATCAGGGAGATGAGGTTTATGAAATTGGAGGGGTGGGGGTGTTATGTGGTTAAGAGGCTCCTGGGGAGACAATGGGATATATAAGGGTTATGTGCTGGGAGGTTTTGGATATGGGGTTTCAATCATCCAGAAGGAGATATGCCCAATATCCAAACCGACCATACATAACTGCTTTATCCTATACCAAGTAGAGTTTTCTAATTTTCTTTCAATTTCTTTTCAATTTTTTCAATTTTTTTCACATTTTTCTAATTTTTTTTAATTTTTTCTATTTTTTTATTTTTAAATTTTTTATTTTTTCTAATTTTTTTCACATTTTTTCTTTTTTTAAATTTTTTCTTATTTTTTCTAATTTTTTTCGAAGTGGGAAGATATGCCCTGGAGCGGGAGATATAGAGGTTCAGGATATGGAAACCTCAAAATCAGGATACGGGATATATCTTACCAACTTATCTCCCTAAAACTCTACTTGGCATAGGATAAAGCTTGATATTGCTTAATGTAACCGGAGCATCGTATTGTGTTATCTGGCTAGGTTTTTCCTTTAGTAGACAATGGGATATAGCTGATGTGACTTTTTAACTGTAGGATCACATTGGCCTCACTAAAACAAACCAACCAACCAGCTTCTCTTACTTTTCCTATATATATTATGGTTTGAAGTCAGTGAACTTGGAATCTGTTGTTTATAGATGTGAAGGTTAAAGGGACTAATCCATGAGCAGCACAAGTTTCCCTAAATCAAGTGATAATTTCCAGATGCAGTCAGGCTGTTACTGTTTCATTTATAAACCTATTCAATGAGTGGTTAAGTGTGCCAGTGAATATATCAGTGTTTCCCAACTATTGATTTCTCATACATAGATTTTATATACAATAACCATCACTGGATCTGCTTTATTAAATCATCCACATTCAAGATACATGTCATCTCTATTATTACATTAATTTTAAATTTTTAATGTTTAGTGATATAATTCCTGCCTATTTCTTTGGGACTCGGATAGCTCATAAATCATAAAAAACAAAGGTTTTTGTAAGCTTTTTAGTTTTACAATTATATAATCTAATCATGAACTGGTGTTTTTTATCTATATCTGCATTCTGTAACTACATGAAATATTGCGTCACATGTGATGCTTGTTTTTGAACCAAACAAAATTAGCGACATAAAACATGCATCCCCTTATCAATTCAAATAAATTCAGAACCATGAAATCAACATAGCCTAGCCTTCCATGACATGCTTGAAATTTTACAGCAGATCTTTTTTTACATTTAAGACTTGGACGTTGTTTTGTTTGATTTGCATAATTACTAAATTGCCAAGAAGAGTGAATGACCCCAACAAAATAATTAACATGCCAATGACTAGAGAGTATGAACCAAGAAACCTGTAACAAAGCAGTTTTATCTGGTTCAACAATATATACCTATCAAAGTAAACAGAAGTTGTGTTATGTTACAAAAACAATTTTTTAGTTCAAACACTACGTCAGCAAAAAACAAATTCTCCATAAAAAACAACAGCTACATAAAAGTACATTTTTAAAGAATGCAAACCATCATTGAGAAGGACAAGATAATATAAAGACAGGAAAGTACTGTACTTCTTGATTTGGCGGCCATTTTAATGTGGCACCAAATCCATAAAGTCCATCAAATTAAGTAGATGCCAAATTCCCTGTTAATTTTAGTAGTATCTAAATAAGTACCATTAGTACATTGTAATATAATTGCCAGTCCACCAAATTAAGTAGCTGCCAAATGTTCATGACAGCAAATCCAGAAAAATAAGTAGCGCCAAATTAAGTAGAAGTACAGTATGCAAGTTGAACCAGCCAATTTACAAATTGGAACTTTTTTGTGATTTGCTTCATCGATCTACCCCATGATCAATATGTTAATCAGAATGTACTATACAAATGGTTATTTGGTCTGTCTTCATTGGCAACTTTTCAAGTGTAATCCTATCGTAATTATCTTCCTATTTTGTACTTGAACAATATTTCATTTAGATACTTAGAGATTTAACGATTCCGCTTCGCATGAAAGAACTTTAACACCCCAAAGATCTCTGGATTATTTCATGGAGATTACAGGCAGATTAATTTAAAAGAAACAAAGAAAATGTTTCAATTAATAAGATTCATCCTCTGTTAAATCTAGCTTATCTAAAACAAATGTGTTAAATGGACATACAATTGTTTTTTCTATACTTAAAAACTTTATAAATATGACTATTGACTATGTGTCATACATAAAGAGATTAATAAAATGTATTATAGTTTAAAAATGAAAAAAAAATGGTGCCCCACGATTTAAACCCTGATCAAAACGTAAGCTTGCTTACAACTACAACATCATGCTTAGCTAAAGCAAGAGAGGTTCATAAATAGAAGTACTCACCAAGTAGCACGTTTTCATGTATAGCGTCAAATGAGAATATGTGTTTGTACCATGTTGAACTCAGATCTTGTCCATCAATACTGCTGTTGTCCCATAATAGAGCCAACTTTCTCATATCACTTTCCAAAGGAATTGCTTCCGAAAATTCTAAAATGATTTTGTCAACCGTCCCAAACTCTAACCTTTGTATTGCCTCTATTTTCTCCTCTGGCAACACTGGGTGAAATAATTCTCGTGAATTACTTTTCAAATAGCCAAGAGGAACAGTGCATATTACATGATCAGCATAAAATTTTTTTCCATTCCGACATTCTACACAGACACTTTTATGTGTTCCATCGCTACCCTGCACTCCGTTTTGCCAGTCTATGTTTTTCACTGCATGATTTAGATAAAAATTTTCTTTTGGTATGGAGCGCTTTAAAACCTCTAAAACTTCCTCAAACCCTGGAGGTATTGCATAATGTACTCCAGGGAGTTCCTCATAGCTCCCCAACTCTCCAAGGGACACCTCATACATGTTGTCCGCACCTGAAATCATAGCCTCAACAGCCAATCTCTGTTTGAATATTAGTCTACGTATGTACTGATCGTCACCATCATGTTTGGCTAATCGTCGTTCCATCTCACGATCGAGAAAGCCACCAACACTGTCATTCTCGATAGGTGTCTGCATACCACACTGAAAGAAAGCCTCGCATTGTTGCATTAGCAAGCCATAGCACCAGTCTACTTCTTTTACTGTTTTACTGGGGACTTGTTCCCCTGCCTCAGTCACAAACACAACTCGCTTACTCAGCGTTTTATTTTTATTTAATAGGGCGAGTAAATTGTTTTCTTCTGCAAGTTGAAATATGGGGTTCCTTTCTATACCATGTATGTAGTTTGCTCCTAATTCTGCCTTACAGGTCCCATTCAAGCCTTCTGCAAGCATAAAATAAAAACAAACCACAAGTTTAATCATTCTAAAAAGAAAACATTCCAAAATGAGATTTGGACGTGTTCACATTCAGGTGTTCATATTCAGAGGTATTCCATTTAAAAAGTGTTCACTGTCAAAGTTGTTCACATTCAGAGGGTCTCACAACATTGGTGTCTACAGTCATTTATTCAAAATTGCAGGGACGGATGATCAATTTAATTATACTCCAAACACAGTGCTACATAATTTGGGAAAGAGATGGAAGATTTTCTGGATAGTGTAATTTAATGTAAATGTTTACATATAAACTTGACAGAACAAAGTTGACATCAAAAAGTATTTTGTTTTAATTAACTCTTTTTCAAATATTGAGAGATCCCTGTCCGCCATTATGATCACATCGATTGAACTTCCATTGGGATAAACCGTAACGAGATGTGGAACAGTTATTGCACTGGGTAAAGATTTATATTATTGGAATTTGGAACCAAATCTTAATATTAGTAAGTCAATGACCAACCTATCTATTACTTCTAAGGCCAATCAAAGAAATGTCAAATATTCCAAAATGAGATTTCATCATCACTAAACCATAACGAAATTGACTTCACTTCTGGTATTGTTGTCTTGTGCCACCTTATTCAAGATTGATACATGGGACCATTCAGCCAAAGCAAAGCTACTAACTCTCAGAGCAGAGAAGACCAATGGAATCCTATCCTTTGCTCTATTCAACAAAAAGAGGAGGAATTTAGAGGTACACAATGTGGATTATGTGAAATCCCTTGAAACAGTCCTCAGACAAGTCACTTTACAATAAGAATAGTTTCAACGATTTGGTTAAAGCCAATGAGACACTATGCTTCAAACACAGTACATTTCTAACATCTCATAAGACATAAATGTAACAATAATAAAGAATTATTATAACAAATGTCTATTTATAAATCTGATAATGAATGTCTTTTGATAAATTCTGTGTATAATGAAAGGAGCACTGCCCACACAAAAGTTAGGTTACCGTAAGAACCATTTATTTTCTTTTTTTTCGTAAAGCAGTCGTTTTGAATAAACGCCGAATTCCGTAGAAAAAGTTGTTGACATAAAACGGCATCTATTTTGGCATTAAATTTTATTAAATTAAATTTTTGGCCACCTTCATTGAAGCCTGAAAGAATAAGAGAAGAGCTTGAGACTAGCTACAGACTTCAGATGATTTAACATAAATTGTCATTTGTGCATTGCCATCTCTTCATACTCTGTAATATAAGGCATAGGTGTCAATTAGCAAGCAATAGGTCTGCTATGTGGTGTCTTGCAGTATTCTACTAGGTTTTCTGGGGACATGCCCCGGTCAGGGTATGGGGAGTTCATTGGGTCATGATTGAATAAATCAATAGTCACCTTATAAATCCTAACTTTCAACAATGCAATGTAACCGATTTGTATTGAGCTTGTACATAAATAGAAAAAGAATAACCAAACAAAACAAATAGGATAATACTTAGTTTGAATATGAAAATGACTGCCATTTATGAAGGGATAAAATAATATATCTGAAATTCTGATGGTTAGCTAGTTTTTAAACAACTTATTCTGATCTGAGTAATTCTATAGCAGGATTATCTCAAATTAATGAGTAATTTTATTTTTAGCAGTTCAATTAATCCTGTCATGTCATATTCTGCCATTTTATTGGTATTGCTACAAGGTTAATTTCAAAATACTAGCGTCTGATCTTTTCTGTGATCAATGGTCAAAGACATAATTCTAAGTGAGCGTAATGTGTGTATGGGTGTGAACATGCGATTTGATGGTGCCAAATATGATGCATAATCCTTAGTGGTTGTATGAGATACATGAATGGATTTGAGAAAACAACAAGTAATATGTAAGTCATATTCTAGAGTGATTAATAAATGTTAATCAAACATGATTCACATGACATAAAATATGATGCGATTTTTCCCAGTAATTGGCAGATTAGTGTGCCTTGTTTTGAAGAACTTGTGGATATTTCCCCACTCTCCTTTTTGATATCCTTCTTCAGAACAGAGCCCTCAAATGTGATATGTTAATATGTGCTAATTGGTACATAAGTCTCATAAGTAATATTCTATTTTAATATCCCTTCACTCATGACAAAATCAAAAACATAACAGACATTGAAGATTGCGAGAAATATTAGGGAAGACCTTTTAAATGACCCAGATTAAAGATGACCTTGAACAACTTGACCACTTAAATTTTAGTCGAATTCCGATGAATTGCCAAAAGCATGTGCTTAATTGAATAAAATGATGGGGGGGGGGGGGTGTATGATGACACTGAGGATGATAAATGCTTCAGAAATGTCTTGAAATATCATGAACATGTTTATTTCTTTAGGGTCGGACATCGTAACATTCTTGTTACTTGTAAGGTGACAATGATACTAATTTATTAAAGTAAGATAATGACTTGATAGCTCTAGAATTTTTAGAATTAATTACATTCCTCTATCTTCGTTTACTTTTCAATGTCTTTATGCGATGTAACTCCAACAGTATACAATCCAAAGCACACTATTTTCATAATCTAGGAGATGACTCAAAAGGAACTTGTGAGGAAGTTTGTGACATTCTTTTTTGATTCAAGTGCTTTTGTAATTCTTTTTGTAGATCTATTATATAAGAATACAGCTTACCACCACTTTGTGTTAGTAGATCATTTTTAATGAAACCTGAAAATAGGACGGTACGCCGACTATTATAGAACAGCCTAAATAAATTGAATAAATTTGAACTTGAACTTCAAATACAAAAATCAAGATTTGATTTTGAAGATCCTTTTGAACTGAAGAAAATAACTTACCAACATTGATACTCCAAATTCTACCTCCTGTTCGACTTGATGATTCCAAGATTTTAAAATTATAGAAACCATTTCTTGATAAATAGTCTGCGGCGGCTAGACCAGAAATTCCAGCACCAATTATAATAATTTCTGGCTCATCTTTTACGGTACATCTTGTCTCCCCGACGTCTGCCATTTTGAATGAAGCTGTCAGACTGAGTTGCCGCATCGGCAAAGAAAAATAGCATAGTTTTCTTATGTCATAAATCTAGAGAATTATTACTGATGAATCTGTGTATTTATTCAACTGATCACACCATAGACATTGGGTTGTACGCAAAACAAGTAGATTTCATATTCTGAAATATCCAGTATATTTGTTAATGTTTGTGGCGGCAGATTCGTCTGCTATTTTAAGCAGACAACTTGCACGAGAGTACCGCTTAAGTGAAAATGCAAAGTCAGAATTAGGCATCCTCCTAAGCAGTTGTCCAGAATCCGTACCTCCTTCTTCCCCCCTAAAGAAAGAATATATTCTGGATTTTGAAGCCCTGTGATCGGAGGATGGAATTAGGCCATTCCGATTCATAAAAGTCTTGATAAATCAAAACACAAAACATGACCCTGTCGTCCAATTGTATATTTTCCAAGAAGATATAATCAGGGATAACCAAACCCGTCTGGCCCAGTTATCTACTCTCGATATCGTAGATCTACGAGGTCGGGAGTAGATAACTGGGCCAGACGAGTTTGGTTACAGTGGGGATTGTGGAATGGGGATGAATAAATCATCGCAACTGAGGCTAGAGCTCATCTTTAGTTCAATATAATAGCACGGACCTGAAGAAGTCCATTATAATAGCATGGGCTTTCATCTAATAACAATACTCATATTTATAGCAATGCGGTCAGTACAAAATACGCAGTGCAGTCCAAAAATAAATGAAAAACCAAAGGACGCCATCTAATAATAAAGTGAAGAACCAAAACCATGGAATGGAAAAAATTGAATTTTGAGTCAGGAAAACAATTTTGGGCCCTAATTAAAACCAAAAATTGGGCCTAAACTTTGAAAAAAAAGCTAAATAAAATTCTCGGCCCACTAAAGAAGGGGGCGGGCCCCATGCCCCCCCCCCCTGGGCCCCAAGATCCGCCACTGGCGTAAATTCCAATGAGAATGAGATTACCGGGGATAAATAAATTCAATGTAGGCACCGAACGAACTATACTAAATTGGGGAATCCCCTTATGACGCCTCCATTTTGGACTTCCTTGTTGAGAATTAGATAACGGTTTTGGGCGACGAATGGATGATTCAATGTCACTCTTGAGTCTATACGTCCATGATTCTGTTCAGCCTTTTTCTGAGAAAACCAGCAGGTAAGTACAACTTCATCTTCTCTCTTTTCAATCCCCTAGTTCTTATGTTAGGCTCCAAACAGAGCAGTTTTTTGTTTGTTTTTCTTTGATTTGATTTGAGTAACGAAAATGTTTGGAACTCCTTTGAATTAAAAAATAAGCAATCAAAGGACCATATTGAAACAGTATATGTAAAAATAGAAACATTAATACATGTCCTAACTTTTGTATATTTTAGTTTGTTTTGTAGTTTAGCCACATGCTATCTATTGCAAGACTTACGCCTGCCACAACCGTCACCATGTTAATATGCGTTTTTAAGTAGCTCAAGGATCCTGCCATGACCGTGGTAGTGTTATTGTGTAAGCCTGGTATAACCGTGACAGGCTGGTATAACCGTGACAATGCTGTATTATATTGCAAGGCCTGTCATGACCCTGGAAGTGTTATCGTGGAAGCCTGGCGCGACCGTAGCCTTTATTGTGGTTTATAAGCGAATGTGAATATTAATGAATAGTAGTAATTTTGATTTTGACATGATTAAGGTAGTTAAACACCATGATCATAGTATTAAACTGTTTAGTTGAAATGCGGATCACATAAAATTGTTAAGGATATTCCTGGCATTATGTCATACATATTTACTAGTCATTGCAATACATTATAACGGTCATAGTAGGACTAAGCCTAAATTTCTACATTACCACCCTCATACCTGGCCTTGCAATACTATATTACATTGTCACGGTCATACCAGGCTTTGCGATCCCATAATACATTGCCACGGTCATGCCAGGTTTTCAAAAACACATTGTCATGGTCACTTATAGCAAATCATAAATTTCTATATTACCACTCTCATACCCGAACTTGGAATATTATATCACATTGCCACGGCGGTCATACCAAGCCTTGCAATACTATACTACATTGCCACGGTCATGCCAGGCTTTGCAATACACATTGTCACGGTTATAGCAGTCCTAATCGTAAATTTCTACATTACCACTCTCATACCTGAACTTGCAATACTATATTACATTGTCACGGTCATGCCAGCGCCTTGCAGTACTATATTACATTGTCACGGTCATACCGAGCCTTGTAGAACTATATTACATTATCACGGTCATGGCAGGCATTGCAATATAATACAGCATCGTCGCGGTTATACCAGGCTTTCACGATAACATTACCACGGTCATGGCAGGATCCTTGCGCTACTTAAAAAACACTGAATAACATGGTGACGGTTACGCCAGGCGTTAGTCTTGCAACAGATACGGTCTCAGTTTAGCTATCATATCTGTGGCCTCTTATGGCCCTCTTATATTTTGATGCTTCTCTGCTTATCGCATCCTACGACCCCTTTAGATTGTGGTCGTACGCCCGATTCATTGGTAAGCCTGTCTTTCTACAATGTCGGAGAATGAACTACGCATTGCACTATTAAATGACCTACCTCGATACATTCCAGAGCATTTTAGAATTCTTTTTATGTTGTTAGATCGCCAATTGTATGGGTTTATCGGCAGAACGAAGAGATTTTAGTTTTTACATCGGAAATATGTCAGCAATTTTCAAAATGTCGGAAGGGGAATTCCCCAGGGATTTCCCTTATGACTGGTGCATGCCGGGAACTGAATGGAGGAATGTGACGGTTGAAATAAGTTAAATATTACACGCAAATATTGCTATCAAAAACGAAAATATCTTCGTTCTGCCGATAAGCTCTCGATAGTGCTGATTATGAAATTATAGCCAGTTGTAATGTCAGTGAATAACGACATCTCAGGACGGAGGCCAGTTTTTTCTGAATCAAGATGCCTAGCCTGGATTATCCTGTAGGATATAAGGAGAACTTATATTATCCGTGCACCCCCCTCCTTCCAGGCCCATACGAAGGATTTCTGAAGAGTGGTCAACTTTTGCATACCAATGGGTTGGGCCGCTGACAGTGACACCCCGCGTTGATGGTGTGTAATGCCGCAAGCTAGGGGGGTATGGAGACATGTTCCGATCCTCAGAAATAATTTCAAATTTAGACCCTCTCCGGTACATTTTGAGCATATTTTAGAGCCATATTTGCATCATTTAATACATCAGCCCACTTTCTCATGTATAAAATCAATGGCAGGTTTCGTGATTGAAAATTGTTTTTAAGTAACTGAGTAACATACTCAAATGACTAAGTATCGAAGTCTAAGTCTGAGTAACTTAAAAATTTAGTAACTAACTCACGTAATTTGGACAGAGTTTTTCTGTATAAGGTAATCCTTTCCAAACATATGGTTACGATTCACTGTTACTGTACATGTATGAGCATAGGGCCATGGGTCAAACACTTTAGAGAGTAAAAAGTTCTAATGGATGGCACATTGGTTGTTTTTCTCAGTTTGATTTCTGATGATTTCAGAGTAGGCAGGAAGCAGTATATCCAAGATGGCTACTAGGGATGATAATTCTAGTGTGTTAGACTCTGCTAGTAGTTCCATATCTTATGTCTACCCCCCAGATATAGCCTACAGTCACCTCATACAAGAAAATTCCCAGCTGAAGGAAACCAATCAGGATTTGCGACTAAAAGCTAATGCCCTGCAAGAGTTTGCCAACCTTTACCAAACTGCCCAAGAGGAATTATCCAGCAAGGATAAGCTCAACACACAACTGGTTAAGGAAAATGAAAAACTGAAGGAAAAATTAGCAAGGAAAAATGACAGTGCTGAATTGAGTCTCATCGATGATGATATCCAGAATCCAGTAGTACTAAAGGATGTTAGAAAAGAAAATGCAGAGTTGCGACAGTTTGTGCTAGAGCAAGGAGGCAATCCATTTGACACTGAATGCTACATCCAGGTAAATGATATTATTATAATGATTGGAAACTGATTCATCATATCTACCTTTTTGCTGAACCAATGAACTTATCTGAATTAGTATATCCATAAATTGGTTAAACCAGTGAGTCTTCATTTAGCAACCAATATGATATGAATACAAAAATGCTGAGGAATCAGTTTTTATGTATGTTCATGTATTTTATCTGATATATCCAAAATGACTGAGGATTTAACTAATATTTCAGTTTAAAAATTTTATGCATGGTTATGTATTGTATCTGATATATCCAAAATGACTGAGGATTTAACTAATATTTCAGTTTAAATTTTTTTATGCATGTTCATGTATTGTATCTGATATATCCAAAATGACTGAGGATTTAACTAATATTTCAGTTTAAATTTTTTATGCATGTTCATGTATTGTATCTGATACATGTATATCCAAAATGACTGAGGATTTAACTAATATTTCAGTTTAACTAATCCTAGCTTGAAATAAAAAGAAGAAACTTGAAATGAAATGCCTGCAATTTGTACCATCCAGTGTAATTTTGATACAAACCTTTTTTCTGAAAGTATGATTTAAATTTGATGAAAAATTTCTACCTAAGTCACTCATTTAAATGACATGGAAGATACCAAATTTAAAGGTGCAACAATTAGTGCAGGGGGCCATTCAATGATCATCGACCAGTGTCAAAATATATTTAAGTTTTGATATTTCATCAAGACTAACATATATTTTTATTATCTTCAAAGAAACCCCCTGAATGAATATCATTTCAGCTGATATTCCTCTTGAAACGTTGTGGATCTTAAAAAATCTATAAGTGGGACTCCCTTTATAGAAGCTTTGAACTGAATTTACACTTCTCTTTGCTGAAATTGATAGTTTATCCATACATTTTAAGAAAACGGGTATGTCAAAGAAGATGTAACCCAAATATTGACCTGATAGCTCGGAAAAAAAAAAATTGAATTTTCTCTCTTCAGTCCTTTTTGCCCCTTTAACAAGGTGCATGCGAAATTTGTAAATAGGCAACTTTAATGGTTCACCTTGTATCAGTATAGATATATTTACTGTTCATTGACATTTACTAAGCAGATAAACATGTTGCCCACATACTGTATATGACGCACTTAATTATACTGCTAATTGAATGGGAATAAGGCTTGCCAGCCTCATCATATAAAGGCTTATAGGTAAACAAGGTTGTTTAGGTCGTTGATTTTTCAGTAGTTTTATTAACATTATTGTGTTTGTATCATATTTGTATTATAATTCCGGACAAGCGAACACAGAAATTAACTCTGTTTTATCAAGTTGAAACAACTAAAGTAAGTATTAAATTGTATAGTTTGAAAGTTTTTGCCGGAGTTCAGCATCAAGAAATATCAGGAAGCATGCATGGTGATGGTTTATACTGTATGGATAAACAAATCTAATTTTAGAAAATTCGTGAACAAACAAGAACGATTGATAGACTGGAAAAAACTAACAGAGAGCTAAAGGAAGAGATTACCTCGATAAGCAGCAAAATTACGCAACCAGAAGATACAATTAGGCTCCCACAACAGAGTCGGCAATCCCAACTGCAACGAAAAATCACTGAACTAGAAAGAAGGAATGCAGCAAAGGATACACTATGTAGTTCTTTAACAGAGGAAACTGATCGATTGAAGTATCAATTGAAGGAGACGTCGGAGAAATGTGAGACTCTGATCAAAAAGCTGGACAATAAAGACTCTTTACAAGGACTTTCTGGTAGACGTGATTATACTGCACCTCCAACAAAACATCAAGATATCATGGCTGAGAGTAACAAACTACAAAAGGTAAGTTTCATTTTAGTTTAAGATAAGGCACATAGTTAAGACCATCTTTAAAAATTCTTATCTATTCAATGAATGATTTACATATGGAGTAGATCCAGTATAAAGCAGTCTGTGTAATCAATTTCAAATAGGGGGCGTTTCATGCCTGTCAAGTGCCCCGTATTTGGAGGGGTTGACCATGCAGTTTAGCAAAAATCTTTTCAATGAGTTTAACGATGCGAATACCAGTGATCTCTACAGCATTTTTTCTCAAGTGGGTGCAAAATTCTCATTTTCACAATTCAGACCAAAATTGGCCAAAATATGCCTATTTTTCATAATAGTAAGCCTATTATGAAAATCTCAGGTGGTACTGCTCCCACTTTTTAATGATGGAGAGATCCCTGGATACATATATGAGAATAGCTCTCGATCTCATGTTACACTAACAAACATTTTATAGGCGTGAATACAAGAGCCATTTCTAGAGTAAACATTCAAATATATAATCCAAAATGATGCATGAGGCATAACTACTATTGGCAGATAACAGAAGGCTGACTAGTGACTGATTGCAATTTTTGACACTAACGAGATACATGGTTACATTTCAATTTTAAGTTTTAATAATTTGCTATTAATTTAAGTTCATTGGTACTACAGGGTGTCCCAGAAGTAACAGGACTGATCAGTTTTGTAGTGTTTCAAATTAATCAAATAATTTATTCACAAATTAATTCAGATCAAAATCCTACACTACTTTGTTATCTTGATATCATTTCTCCAGTACTCTTAATATAAGGTAAAGTTCAGATTAGTAGAAGTTTTTAAGTTTTAAACTTCCTGGTTTGAAGTGAAAAATGGGTACCTGGTAATCTAGTTTTTAAATTCTGATTTTTCAATGTAAAGTTCAAGGAACAGATATATATTGCTTGGAATCTCAAAGGATAGGTATCGATATGGTGAACTTTTTGAAAACATTTTTCTCTTAAACCAGTCATCAAAAAATTCTGAAAATTGTACACACCATCTATTAAATGGTCATCTTTTGAATGGTAACAATTTAATTAGAAAAAAAACCTTTCTATCCTCTCTTTTTACTGAAGAAATTGTATGTTTCTTTTATACACAACCTTTTAGTTTAGACCACTTGTAATTTTGTAAACATGAAAGGAGATTAAACAAGTTTCGGTCTCATTTCGGTCAAATAAAGCAGCATTTGTATATTGATTTATAAATCAAACATTCATACACTTAAAACCTAATTTTGGTTTCATTATAAATGAAAGTGAATTCAAAAGTTTGGTCTTCCTCTTTTTAATTTATTAATCTTATTATATTTTTTACGAATGACCTGTAAATTATTCAAAATGCAAGTAGTCAGATTTTAATGAAAGATTGTTCGTGATGAGGAAGCTCAAAACAGGGCCTTGAAGCATTACTTAACATTTAGAGCCTGAGATCATTTAGAATATAAATAACAAGAATATGATAACCTGCCAAAATAATTTGGCAACTTTTCTCTCCACATATTTGTGGTCTGTCTATTTACTGAAATGTAGCTGTAATGATTAAGGTAGGTGGAGTAAAGTGAATAATCTTTGGTGCTTGCATGTTAGCATTCATACTAACATGTCCAAAAGTTACACCTTTATTCCTGATCTCATTTGATAAAACCTATGTAATCAATAGCTATTTCCCTTATTTGACCTTACATGTTACCTAATACTTTGTGTTTGAATTACCGCTATAAATCGGATAATAAGGGCAAATGATGTCAAGGTGAAAATGGAACAAACCAAAATTTCAACTTTCAAATGATATTAAAATATATACATGTTAATTACAAGTTTTTTCGGGATGTACAATTTTCATATCTTGTGACTCATCAAAGTTAATGCCCATGAGGAAGTTGTATGAAAACTAATTCCAAGTTAGCTTGAACTGAATAACCCAGAGGATATGGTTCTTTTTTCAGGGGATTCCCCTTAAATCTTATCATGCTATGTTAGTTATATATGACTCATCGAATGAAGCTTTGAGAATTCCCATTGAAATATGAGAGTGTGTACCTTCTGAGTATATAAATATACCTCTATCTCACCATCCATCCAGTAATATACAAGAACGCTTTTGCTAAGCTGCTGAATCTGAGCACTTCAATAAATTGATTTTGGTTTTTTACAAGCTGAATTTAGCATTTTTGTAAAATGTGTATGATAAATGTAAGATTTTAATAAACCTACATTTTCATCTTTCAAAGTAAACTTTTTCTATCAGTAACAGTTACATAAAATTGAATTATAAAGGTTTTACTTGATTTTTATTTGTGACTCAGGAACATTTTAAGATGAAAAACATACTATTTAAATTTTAAATGCAAAGCTGAGCTGCTTATGAAACTTAACCTTTAATTTTTGACAACAGATATTGAATAATTTTCAAAAATACCTCAAAACATAAAGTTGATTAATAAATTTGTGAAGTATTTAAACTGTATAATATAAAAGTCAATACTTAATTTTTATTTTCATTTATGTAAAATAGATAATAAAATATAATACATAGTAGTTATAGTCAATTGAGCTCATTTAAGAAATTAGTTTAATTACTTTGAGACAAATTTTCTTTCAATTTCAGACCAGGGTAGAAGGTAAAACTGAAACTGATGATGTGACGTTGTTAAATGCGAAGATAAGAGACTTGGAGGAAGATAATCGTAAAATGAAAGAGAAACTGAAAGAAGTGGTAGAAATGAACACCAGATGGCAGCATTATAATAAACAACGAGACCAGTTTGTAACTAAACTGAAAGACGAGAAAGCAATTCTGAAATCTAGAATTGAGGAAAAAGAAGATCCAAGCAGGATTACATGGGCAGAGAAAGAAAAGATGGACATGGTCTTGTTAGAATCAAAAAAGAAAATTGATGATTTGGAAAAGGAACTAAACAAGGTTAGTAGCATTTACGATATACATGTATAATACTTAGAAACATTTGTGAGAGTGATTCTATGAGATGTGAAGTCTGACAGACAGGGATTACATAGGTATATGTATGTTACAAACATCCAGTTTTCTAATTTTATTCATCACTTCTTACCATGGCAATGAATTAAGGGGATTATGGTTTTAAGTTTTCAGTCACTCTCTAATACTTATATCAAGTTCTACGACAGGATTATAGTGCCACCTATGTGCCATTAAGGTCATGTGCCATCAAACTATAAAACATACTGCAAGTTTTGGGCATTATTGGATTACTGACAAAAATATCTTACTTCGACATATTCTTCACATTGTCCAAACTCCAATTACACTGTAGTTGGAAGAACAAAAACATTTTGAAAAATCAATATTACTTCTACTAAAAGGACAACACACATTCGGAAATACCACATAGCCAGTCCACAGTTGCTAAGGGAGCCTGAATGATCTATTTTATAACGGAATTTGAAAACTAAATTTTAAGATTTAAAGTTAAAGCATGAACAATTGCTCTATAAGGCCAGGGTAATTCAATTAATTGTTTGGAATTTCTTGATTTTTTTAAATTTGATAATGGTATGATGCTTTTTATGGCTCTCATTCACATGGTGGGCATGGTAGACTTCAATTCTTAAAGGAGACTTTTGTGTTCACTCTTTCAGTTTACAATAAATCTCTGATATCACCGAACCAATCAGAGCTCGTCGTTGAAATACGGACGACTTTCTATATGGTCATTTCCTCTGACGTCACCGCATAATTAATGAGCATGTATTTAGCACATGTTCCTTCCACTTCAGTGATTGGTCAAGAAAGGGTCGGTGTGGTAGATTTGAAATGATTTAATACCTGGGCTGTCACATGTACCAACCTTTGGGGCGGGGCTGCTAAACTGTAGGCTTATTATTCAAAATTATTTCAAAGGGCGATATTGTCTTGTATTGTTGGGTGCGGGAGCATGCAGGCACTAGCCTACATAAGTATTTTTATCAAAATCCCCCCAAAAAATTGTAATAATCTGATTGTGTCTATTTGCATTAAAATTATGCCTCGTCCTATACTTTCAAGTTTCAATATTATTTCAGACACAAATTGATAACTTTAAGCTCAAGGAGAGTTGTTTCAACCAGAAGAGTGTTATAGAAGCCCTCAATGAGAGAGTGAACACACTGGAAGAAGAGCTAGAGGGGAAAGGCTTAAGAGGCACTAATATGCAGAGTATAGGCAAAGTGGAGGCACTAGAGCATCAGGTATGTAAGAAACACTGGAAGGAAAAGTGCATGTAAGGGCAACAACAATGTGGATAAATGTGAAACAACAATATGGATTAATGTAATACAACAATGTGGATAAATGTGAAACAACAATGTGGATGAATGTGAAACAGCAATGTGGATAAATGTAAAAATACATGTAGGTGGACCGTTTGTGTAGAGTAGATAAAGTGCATCTGACTATATTGGTGAATGATGAATTAGACTTCAATGTAGGTGAATTGTCTGCATTCAAAAATAATTCTCAATGATTCATATTTCTTTAGGTTGAACTTTTTCGTCAAGATTTTGAATCAGAACGGCGAGATCGAGAGAGGGCCCAGGCAACAATAGAGACCTTACGTGAAGAGCTGGCTATTGCCAACAGACTCCTTGCAGACTTTCAGGCAGGCACCATGGCCCAGATGAATGCTACGAGGAGTGTGGCCCTCAGAAATCTCGAGGACTCCTACATGGATAAACAACGAGGGAGGCAAGTGCAGTATGCACTGCAAGAGGTAAATGTTATAGATAGTTTGAACAAATTAATAATTACATTTTGAAAAATGGCAATTTTTAAATATCATTTTACGTGTTTTTTTGTGCTCAGAACATAATGAATTATATTATATCTTAGTTCTTGGAAGCATGAGCCATAGTTTGTAGGCAATTTGGTTAATAAGTCGATAAAGTGAAAAGGGTTATTTTACCTTTTTTGTTTTAATTGGTTAAGTAATAGAGCAATTATATTGGGCGAGGAACCTTCTAAATGGTTCCATTTTTACTATTTTGTTCTTATTCTTTTTTTGCAGCCATCACTGTTGGCAAGAGGAGGGCAGAATATGGATTATACAAGACATGCAGACTTCACCAACGAAGCACCCTGGATGAATAATCAAGCCGCCTACTCACCAATGAATCTCCAACGTAATGTTACAGCTGACCGTGCTCGTAACGTCACTAGGGGGTCAAACATCAAAAATGAAGCTACTGATGCTGATGATGACGAAGAAGGTTATGATGAGGTGGACTCTGGAGTACATGACACTCATAATGGAGATTTCCATCTGGACTCTTTACCAATCACAGGGAATGATTATATAAAGTCAAATAATTATACAACAAAAATCTCCCAGAACAATTTGAATGGATATGAGACGAAAACGCGGAAGTCAGGAAATGACTATTATAGTAAGGATAGTATCATGGATAGCGATGATATGCAGTGTCCTAAATGCCATAAATCTTATAGACCACATTTAGCTGCTAACCTGCTAAAACATATTGACCTTTGTTGTAACTAATGTGGCCATTTTGAAAATACATGAAATATTTGTATATACAGTAGTTAAGAGATTGATATATATATGGAATACTCCATGTGGAGCTACTGAGTATTTGCCAAAGTCCCATTTGGGCATAACAGGATATATTGAAGGTATCAGGTTAAAGATGTGTAACCCTCTCAGTTAAGCTGACATTTCTTGCAAGCCTATTGCTGTCTTGGTAAATGGTTGCTATAACCAATTATAAACTATCAATACTATGCCAAAATATGAAAAACTAGGTCTTTGAATGTACAATAATATTTTCTCATTATACGATTGGAAAATAGATAATTTTTAGTTTTAGCAACCATATCAAGATACCAATGGGGTTGGTAATTACTTTAAATATATCTCATTTCCTTCCAAGTCCTACTTTCTGTGTAAATATTTTTCTTTATAAGACGTTTAAAATGTAAATTGCAATGGGCTTACTACATGTACTATAATTTTTATTGTTGATTTATGCAGTTGTTATAATTTTGTTAATGTTGTTTTACATTTCATTTTTTTGAAAAATCTAGTATATATGTAAAGGTGTTTACATGTGTAAAGATAAAGAATTATAAATATGGTACAAATGTGTGATATATTTTTTTTAAATTAACTTATGATTGATTATACCACCATGAAGGATATATTTAATTATTTTTTAATATTATATTACTTTGTACATTACATGTATACTGTATAAACTAAATTGTACATTATGTAAAGTATACCAACATATTCTGTATGTACATGTATACTGAGATCATATTTTTATTTAAAGTGTATGAGAAATCATGTAGCCATATAGAGTGTGCAAATCTTCTATTACTCGGGTGAACCAAAGTTTGATCCATTTAGGTCTTAGTGAAAGATGTCCCTCTAAAATGTCATATTCTTAATTAAAAGTATAATTGGATATTCATACATGTTGTACGTAGGGCTGGCAGGGAGAAGAATTATTGTCCGAAATGTCAGATATCTGAAATGGACTTTTGGACCGCTTCTTTTTTCTGATATTTTTTTAAATTGTCATTTTACATAAAGAACACTTGCCAACACATAGCAAATAGGAATAAACGAAATCAATAAATATCAATTTCAATTCCATTCTATGCCAGCTCTAGCTCTATGTAGATTGTGAATTCAAGTTTTGTTAAGATAAATAAATAGACCATACAAATATGTTAATTAGTATTATATATTATTTTTTTTATTGAAGAACCATCATACACAAGATATAGGGCATCGTGCACTTATGTACCTGTATACTGCATACTCTTTGCTTTATGTATCACAGACCATTCAGCATTAATGGATTTATTTCAGTAACTTTTTTTCAGTCACATCTTTTTGGCAAAAATGGGCCTTTTAAGGCCTTATTTTTTAATTTTAGGTCAAATTATCAGGAAAATGGGCCTTAAAATTTTCAAAATTTGGGCCCACTTTTTTGTTTCAGGGGCCCAACATTTTTTTGCGTGGAATTTTTTTTTCAAACTCCAAATATGCCCCCCCCGCTTGTTGGTTCCTGGATCCGCCCCTGATGTATTAAACTTGACTCCAGACTGATCATCAGTAAGGATGTTGCACAGTGACAGGTTCAGTGTTTGTAACAGGTCATCAACAACATTTCAACATGTACATGTTAAATGTTAAATCTCTTCTGTATAAGTTGTTTTTATTGATGACAAAGTTATCACTGATTGAAAAGTTGATTTTTCACAGTGTTTGTGTTATGCAAATCTAAATAGAATAATTTGGAAACAGGATTGATAGTATATATCCAAGGAGCTCACGTTTCTCAAACTCACAACCTCATGGTTACTGCGACAGCTCTGATGACTCGTCTGAAATAAACTCTTTGGTCAATGTAGCTTTTTTCTCACACACTTTAAGCCCAATTTGAAATATATTGTCATAAGAATTTTGAAAATTTTAATTAAATGCAATCATGGAGTGTTGTAATTACAACAAAATCTTTTTACTATTTTGTGAAAATTGATATTTTATGAATGATGTTATTTAGCTTATTCGCGAGACCACTGACTACATTCATTATATTAATGAGAGACATGTTACCTATCTTTTGGAGAAAGAAGAGCTCACTTAGCATTGTAGATTACTCTGTATGCAATGTCTAGTTTGCCAGGGTCCTATTTAAGATTTTAAATGGCCCAGAGTGCATCATTGCTGTAAAATTGGCTTGTGACATGATTTTATTAGGGCCTTTACTGTCATTATTTTACATATTCAGATAGATTGGTAGCCTTTGTGTTTTACTATTTAATTATCCAAATGAATGAAGTTATATTGGATATGGTGAAGCCTTCGTCAATCTTCAAGAATATTACTGAATACACAGTTTAGATTTCACAGTTTATTTTTTACTTATCTGATCTTGAATTGATACCACAATAGAAATCAAAATAAGTAAAAGAGACCGACTTGAGCCCGGGGACTTGGGCAAGGTTAGGCTATTTAATACTAAAATTATATATTTCAGAGAAGATCACAATTACTTTATTTGTCCGATTCCATCTTCTGATCAAAGGACTTCAAAATCCAGAAGGTACGGATTCTGGACACCTGCTTAGGTGGATGGTCTGATTATTGCTTTGAAAAATCCAGAATATTGTAAATTATACAGTAAAACCTGTCTTAGTGAACACCTCTCTCTAGTGAACATCTGTGTTTAATGAACGCCCACTCAAGACACATTTTACATTGACTCATGTATGAAAATCCCCTCTTTGTAGTGAACACCTACCTACAGTGAACACATTTTTGTAGTTCAATGGGTGTTCACTATATACAGGTTTTACTGTAATTAGATCTTTCCAAAAAGGCTGTATTATAGTGAAATCAAAGGTATTTTATCTCGTACCTCCTTTCTGATTTGTGCCTTTATAAGTTAAACTTGGCCACCCAAACCTTGAATTGGCTGTATTTCTGAGATTTCACCTAAGTGAATCTAGTGTATGTGCAAATAGAGGGTTGTAACAGTAGATTCTATATACAGTATATACGAGGTACATGGTGAATGTATGAATAATTTGTTGTATGGATTTGCTACTCCCTGGAGTTGCCGTTTTTTAGTTAAATATTTTGTTAAAGATTATTGAATAAATGTTTTGTGAAACTATCCAAAATTTTGTTGGATTACACTGTCCTTATCTAAGATGTGAAGTAAATTTAGACCAGAAGGACCAAATCAAAGGGGGGTGAGAGGTGGAAAACAATTAAAAAACAAAACCTTCATTTATCGTAATTCTATCATAATTTTATATACTATTATTCAATTGTAAAAATACCATAGTCATTCATCAAGCTATTATTAAAATGTGTGACCATTTTAGTTATTTCTAACAAAATATGATGAAACATTTGGCACATATTCATATCAATGCTCATAATATCATGAAATACAATTTCTCGGAAATTTTATGAAATAATATTGATGAAGGAAGTTGATAGAAAATTGCTCAACACCATTATTGTACATTGGAAAAAATAAAAACTACACTGGTGGTTTCCATTATTATCCATTAAACATCGTCTTGGATATGTTAATTTTTGAGTTTTGTTTATTTATATGATTTGAAATTTGAATAGACCGTCTAAATAACTTCTACATTGTACAATCATAATTTATACATCGCCGCGCATTTTTATAATAATACATCTGAAAGTAGCAAAATTGAAAGCTTGGTAAGGATTACTTAGGCCTACAATGGTTTAGATTTATTAGTTTACTGATAATAATGAATAAGTAATAATAAATAATTCCAAAATGGCATGATATAATTATTGTCAAGTATAAGTTAAATATTTAAGGAATTTTAGTTATATTGATACAGACTTGTAAAGTTGTGCCCTGGAAACTGAGAAATGACAAACCACTATGTCATAAGTTGACAACATTTTATGAATAATATATTCCAAAATATTAGAAATTGAATGCTCCTTTCCATGGTTTATCCAGATATGCTTCTGCTATAAATGCCTAAATGCAATATAAATAATCTAAGGAGGAGGGGGAAGTACAAACAAACAAACAAACAAATAATCGCCATAGGCTAAATGATGTGAAATATGAAGCCTGTTATACAATGTTGTACTTATTTGTTTGATATATTTGACTATTCAGATTATACTTTGCATGTCAAATTGTTTCTTTTGTGAAGAAAACACCCATTGCGAATAATTTAGTGTTGCCAAATATTATTCTTGGTCGACCTTTGACACGAATCCCAAATATTAATTAAACATGATTAAAATGACAGAAATGCTGTGAAAACGACATATTTAAGACCTACACTCCCCTTAATAAGTCTGGTAACTAGCAAGTTTGCAAACTACAGCGTCATGCCTGTCAATCTTTCAATCTTACTTTCGCAATAGTAATGGGAACGTTCTCGCAAAGAAACACTTCTTTGACGTTTTGTGTATTGTTGATCGTGTACTCGTGGTGTAATCTGAATAATCTAAATACATCAAACAAATAAGAAGGAACATAATTAGTCTTCGATAAATATATAACAGCATAATAACAATATTTGGAGAAATACTCTTGCCTAAATAAATCATTTTTCAATATACTCTAGTTTCTTGTAATGAGACGCACCTTGCAAAAGCGGCCATTTTTCGAAAATACGTTTAAATAACGCAGATAGGCAATTTATTTCTAGGCCAAGCCAATAATGTGTAAACGTAGGTTTGTTTTTTCCATGTGTACACGTGAGTAATATTATATATGACTCATAATTATGGAAATAAAATAACCTTAAAAAATAATTTCTAGGTAAACTATCATTTTCTGGTAAACAATTAACATGATTTTCGGTGCAATATAGGTCCAAATTTAGTGAGTTCACTGTTCCAACTGGCGTTCCACAAAGGAATAAACAAATTTGATCAATATCATTTTGATAATAATTCAAATTGACGCTCTCGGGGTTATATTTAAAAAGGAAATGATGCCTTTTACTTGACCTTATTCTGAGTATTGTTGTCTACATATTTTATAATATTTGTTTATACTTACACAACAGTCGAAATCATCAGGGGACAATGCATAACGTAAATTATACGCATACCGCGCCTCGCAGGAAACATTTTGTTTTGTTCTCGATATGGATTTGTTCGCGATATGAATTTATAAAAATCGAACATTTTAAAAACATTTTATATCAGATTTAGCACATGATATAAACTTATTTCTATTAAATTGTCGCCAGTAGAATCTAAAAGACGGGATTCACCAATGCATATCAGCAAAACAGCCTAGTTACGCTTCTGCGAAACTTCCTTAAACTCCCAAAGTGCACGCCTGTACTGGTACGTGATTTGATAAGTCAGTACTCACAGGGGCTGTACCAAATTAAGCGTGACAGTTGAACGCATGGGGTAAGGTACAGCACGAGGGTGATGACATTTGAGCAAACTAATGTTTTTTATTGTTTCAGGGATATCTGGTCTAGTTTCTTGATATTTTTATCTGTAAATAAATGAAAACATCAGTTTGCTCAAATGTCATCGCCCTCGTGTTGTTCCTCGCCGTACGCGTTTAACTGCCACACTTTATTTGGTACACCCCCTCAAACTCAGTACAGTGAGTACGTACTTATACCTTGGTCACATTTGCTCAGATTTTCACGACGGCGCCCGGGCGATTGAGTATTTTATTCAAAATTGAATACGATTTTGAACAAAACACTCAATCGGCCGGGCGCCGGCCGATGGATCGGAACAAATGTGACCCAGGCATTACTTTTTCAAATAATAGTGAAAATCGAACGCCTTGGCGTGTGACTACACCGGTTGCGCATGAGTAACCTGCTTAATCTGGTATTGACTACTGATGTGTATGCTGTCCACGTGGTTTCTAAAGCCCATTTGTGACTAGGCCGTTTGGAGAGAGACAGGGTTGGTCAGGAATTGTAAGTACATAATATTCAAATGGACTTGTGCCTTCTCTCGATGTTAAAGTAAGAAATAGTCAAGGATGTGTTATTCATCCTAGGAAATAATCGACAGTGAAATTTTATTTTATTTTTTGGTTCAAAATAAAACGTGATGGCCACAGATGGCAGGATTTTTCTTAGTATACATCCTAAAGAAAATCTTTCTTTAGGATGTATTTTCTTAGAAAAATTCTGCCATCTGTGGTGATAGCATCCATATATAACTTTTTTTGAAAGGCATCCTTACCTTGTTGCATCCATCTTCATAGTTCAGAAACAAACTATTTTATGTGTCAAGGAAAACTAGCAATCAAAGGACCAGTGCAATATTATAAATAAAATACATTCATATTTAAAGGGCCCGTGAAAAGTAAAACCATTTTGCATTGTTTTATCCAATGTTATCAACATTTTGAGGCCTGCATGCTTCAAAAAGAACATGGCTCAGAAGCCATCAGGAGCATCATGAAGTAATTTTTTCAAACATTAACAATCCTAAATATTTAAAAGTTTTGTGTCTGAATTCTGATAGATGTATTTTCATTTTGAACCAGAAGATATCAGGGGCCAGTGTAATAATTTTTAAAAATGTGAATTTAGACACAAACCGGATTCAATTTAGAAGACTTGTAATTATAATTATTTTTTTAGGGGATCATTTTTGTATGTATTTCATCCATTAGAAGTCGCAATAGTCTTGAATAAGTCGCGACATGTTTTTCCCTTACAGTAGCTATTTGTTAGCAATCCATAATTATATTTACAGGATTTTGCAGAAAAAAGCACCAGGAGCAAGTTATTTCATATGTAAAATTAATTATTTATAGGCTGAAAGATGGTGTGGAAGATGTTTGCAGTAGTTTTGGTTGCTTGCCTATACTACACAACAGGTATATATACATTATTATTGTGTTCATAAACAGAATATCCATTCCAAGCGACTAGAAAATATAAACTGAAGAGACAACCAAAACCCTGTAAAGTACTGTACATACAATGGATTTTTACTTGACGATATCCTCTACTACAGTCAAAACAGAAATGTTTGTGACTACTTTCAATTTAAAAAATAAGCAATCAAATGACCATATTGAAACAGTTTATGTAAAAATAGAAACATTTATATTTATCCTAACTTTTGTATATTTTAGTTTGTTTTGTAGATTAGCTATCATATCTGTGTCCTCCTATATTTTGATACTTCTCTGCCATGTTATTTTCGGAAAAATTAACATGGCTGAAACTCCCTAAATTACAAAAGGCCACAGCTTTGCTGCACATTATACATTACTATCTGAAATATACAAAAGTTAGGATAAATATAAATGTTTCAATTTTTACATAAACTGTTTCAATATGGCCATTTGATTGCTTATTTTTTAAATTCAAAGTAGTCACAAACATTTCTGTTTTGACTGTAGTCTGAATTTTTTTGAAATTTGGAACGAAAATATTCAGACTATAGCCCACATGTTAAAATTTGGGATTAAAAAATATTTGTTTACATATGAAGTCTGCATATTTGTTACTTCCCCTAGCTTTATTTCCATTTGACAACATGCTGTGCTAGAGTCCATTTCACTGCTTCATTTCGTCAGTAGAACAGCAAAAATAAGAAATTGGGAGACCATTGTGCAATAATATATAGAAAAGTATATTCATAATGTACATGAATGACATTTGTATATTTCAGATTTTTTAGTTTTTTGTGCAATAAGCCTGTGCCGTCTTGTAATTTGAAGAATTTCAGCCATGTTAATCTTATTGAAAATAACATGGCAGAGAAACATCCAAATATAAGAGGCCACACACTTTATAAGCCAAACTAGAAGCAATCCAAGATATACAAATGTCATTCATGTACATTATGAATATACTTTTCCATATATTATTGCACAATGGTCTCCCAATTTCTTATCTTTGCCGTTCTACTGACGAAATGAAGCAGTGAAATGGACTCTACTTTCTATATCATTTAATTGTACCTTACTACTTAATTGAATTGTTGGTTTATTTAACATTAATAATTAATGTTATTCAAATGCATGTTGTATATCAAATAATCAACTAAAAACAATGAAAATTGAAAAGAGCTGTATTTATTTTATAAACATTTTATCAAATAAATATAATTGCAGATGCTTACGTTGCGAAGATCGGTTATCCAGTTGATGTAGAAGGTTCTTCAAAGCAAGGCGTCTCTGACAAATCCTGGATTCTTATAGATTTTGTACTTCCTGCAGGAAAACTTACATACTTGCGTTTTAGATCTTCAAGTAATGTGCCATTGGAGGAGAATTCACTTGAGGTGAGAATAAAAGAAAAGAGAATAAAATAAAAGATTTAAAACTTATGTTTTCAGATCATTAAAGATGAAACTTAATTTGTGCAAGATTCACGAGCATCTTAGCGATACAGTAAAGAATCATTATAGAAATGTCAATTATAAGAAATAGTGTTTTCTGTTTCATTTTCTGAAGAAAATCTTCAAGGTGTTGTGTTAACCTTTGCACAAGATTTGCAGAATCGAGTGTTAAGTTTAGGAAACAATGCCTGAGTGGAATGAATCGGCCACAATCCATTGAGTCTTGGGCTTAAATTCTTTTCACACATTGCGATATATTTTCTACAAAATTGATTAAAAGATACAAAATTGCTAAAGGAACATATTTTCAATGAAACCTTTTGCAAGGGACAAATTGGCAATTTATCAATTTCAATCTGTAGAGTCAAGTTGTCACCTTGACAACCATATAACAAATGATCTTCAGTAGATTGTTGGTTATACAATGCAATGCAGTTATATGAAATAGCGTGTTTGGATTGGTTGGAATCATACTTACCTTGTCTAGCAATGTATGAATTTCCAATTAATACTTTACAATCCATAATTCAGGGGACAAATCCAAATATAACATCTGAAATAACCCATCCTTGTTCATTTATTAAATAATTTAGATATTAAAGACAGTAAGATATATGGTGTTAAACTTGGAAGCAAAATGTTCTGAAAACCTTTTGAAATATAATTTGCTCAATATCTTTGATTATCCCTTGAATATCTTGTGCTTTTGTTGCATTTCAGGGACCCGTTTTCTATTTTCAAATATGGAGGCCTAATGATAACAATAAGTTTCTTCTGGTTCATAACAAAGAGATCAGTGTCTCATCTCAGAACAGGATAAGTAATACTAGGGAATTTATGGTAAGTAAATGCAGGTTTTGTTCAACCTGTACATGGGCTTTCAACTAGAATTGAAAGCCCATGACCTGTATAAAAATGTAACATTTGGTTATTGTACAATGTTTCAAAATTAATTAAGCTACTATTTAAATAATAAGATATGTACAGAAATGAATCTTTGATGAAGTTCATGACGGTAGTTACAGGTACTAGCCATATCCGCATTTATCTTTAGGAGTTTTGGTTGTATTTGGTTCCTTTAATGAGAAAAGTTTGACGGGTTTGTAGAAAAAACCGGGTACCGGGTACCGGGTAGTAAATCCTCCATGCTGGGTTCAAACTTGGTACCCGGTACCCGGTCGAAAAAACCGGGTACCCAAAAAACGAAAAATACGATTATATAACATATTTAGATCATTAGAAAACGTGTAAGATTTGTTTTGAATATACAAAAATGTATGTAACTTCCGTTAAATTGACCTAGAAGCTTCAAATAAAAAGCATTTTAAGGTTCTATTCTTCCTCTATCATCGTGGTCATATTTTCATAGGTTATGGGGTGGGGTGCGATCGCCTATGACATTGTAAGACGTAACAATTTACACTTCAGTGGACGTTTCGTCGAAAATTGGGATAACTTAAATTATGATTAATAATCAAAATCTTACACGTTGCATCATGTAAATTAACACACGTCACCTCTCTGCTAAAGTAACGATAGCTATTTACAGATTTAAATCATAATCAAAACTGTCCACGTACCAACATACGAACTATTGAAATTAGAGGTGACGAAAAATTTCGAACGGAATGCGTGACATATACGTGATTCGCGTGAAAAGTCCGAACGGATTGCGTACGTTTTTTTGGTGGTCGTATTTTTGCTGTATCGGCGAACTGTTTTAGAATTTTTTCTACAGAAATATTTTTGCTTGACAATTACCAGGTAAAATGCGTATTTGCGTGACATTTTCTGGCGTGGCTTCAAATTCTTCAGCAAATGCGTGACAAATACGCAAATTGCGGGACAGTTGACAGGCCTATTCGATGACAATATGACCATGATGATAGAGGAAGAAAAGAGCCTTAAAATGCTTTTTATTTGAAGCTTCTGGCTCAATTTTGAGGGAAGTTACATACATTTTTGTATATTCAAAACAAATCGTATTTTTCGGTTTTTTGACCGGGTACCGGGTACCAAGAATGAACCTAGCATGGAGGATTTACTACCCGGTACCCGGTACCCGGTACCCGGTTTTTTCTACAAACCCAAGTTTGACTGGCCTATATGCCTATTTTTATAGGTACCCATAGACCCACCCATGGAGATTCAGGTGGGGGACTCGGTTGGCTTCTACCAAGAAGAGGACGATAGTCTTCTAGCTTTCAGCAGTACTCCCATTTCCCAGGACCTGCAAGGAAATGTTTTGGCCAGCAGCAGTGGTGGAAAACCAGTAACTGGGAATGAGTACAGTTTTTCTGAAAGTAGACAAAATCACATTTTCAGACTTCAAGTTGATATTGGTAAGGGCATTTAATCCAGTCTGTTTTTTTAAAATGTATTTTCTTTTTTTATTGCTACTACAAAATTGTGTTATAATAGATCTTTTTTGTAGTTTTTTATAAACACAGTAATAAGATTTCTTTACAATTTCCTAATGCTTGCAACAAGCCAAGTGCTAAAATATAATAGAGCTTAATAAGGTGTTAAAATAAAATTAGAGGATCAAAATGTACAAGGACGCTGAGAGGGTGGTCCTTTGTAATTGGAGAAGAGGAATTTTTCAATGATCATAAAAATAATTTTTTACATTGACTAAAAAGTATAAAACAATATTGACTAAGTGAAAAGTGATGGGTCTTCAGTGGTGTGGTACTAAACAATGATTACATTTCATATGCAACAATTTTCTGTTTTAGATATGTATGCCCAACAAAATAAACCATACAATATCTACAATTCCAAGGGTAGTGCTATTCTTCTGAATTGTCATTTTGCCGATGAATCCTACTATAAGTTTACTCAATTTGGCAATGTACTAAGCAGCCTGGCTATCTATAAAGGGAACGAACGACTCTTTAAATCATCATTAGACCTACCATCGTCGTATGATGTAACGGCCAACTATACTCTTGTTGAACAACCATGCTGCATGTTTAACCCTATGGATGGACTCTATAATCTGAATATCAGTGCAAGTGACGCTGGAAGCTATACTTGCAAACATCAAGTTGAAACTATCAAAGAGGGGACAACTGATTTAGGTGTTAGTGAATTTGATGTTGCTGTTAAGGGTAAGGCATTATCTATAATTACTTTATTATTTCATGAGGAAACCTGAACAATGTTCCATGCTCTCAATAGCCAATAGATTATTTTCTATATAAATGAAAAATAGATGGCAGCATGGCTGTTGGTAGGGCCAGAATACATGAATACATAGGAACATATTGCAAGATCTAATAAGTAATTCCATTTGTAATCTAACTACATGTATATGAACTTACTGACATGGGGATTGTGATTTCACATTAGAATTGTGATCCTTGTAAGAATAAATTAACTTTTAAAGGTTTTTCAACATTGTGTCAATGGGGATTTAGCCTGACCTTTTTGATAGTTTTTGATAGAAAATGACAGACAGAATTCAAATACTAGCCATCAAATAGAAGAACATGTAGGTCTTTAATGGTTAAAAATGCAGATCTCCTAAAATCACACCGGAATAGCCTGACTACGGTAAAGTCAGATACCGTTGTCACAAATGGCGGACATAACCGTCGCTTCAACTGTTTATTCACTTGGTCCTCATTTCATGGGATTTTATCGTCGCTAATTCTGTGCATGCATTAAGTTCTTGTGATGATGTATCATATGAAATCCCATTTTCGATCAAATTCGGTCGTGATTCGCCAAAATATAGCGTCTTCGATATCGTCAATGACAACGGAATCTGAATTTGAGTAATTTAGAAAGACAACGGCATATGGTAATTACAGTGTCCGTTGTCCCCTATCTCATTCTGATCGGTTAAATTAAAGACTTTATTTCGATGATAGAACATTATTAACTGTACAAGGTGTAATAAGACACTTTGATTGATTGTTGTTCCAAAGGAATTCAGTCTAGGTGCTCTATTAAACATACAGATCATGAAAATCTAATTGAAGCGACGGTTATGTCCGCCATTTGTGACAACGGTATCTGACTTTACCGTAGTCAGGCTATTCCGGGGTGAAAATCTAATTAAAAGCGAGACTTAAATGAGATTTCAAAGCTATATGAAAACTCCTCTTAAGAGTCTTAGTTGCATACCTATATACAGTGCATTGCTTTGCTTTTAGAATCGGAGTGTGATTTTGAGTTTATCAATAAGGCAACTTCGATCCAGGAATATTGCAGTTTGAGTATCTCATCAAAAAATGGCAACTATGTTTGGGCAACACTATCTGGAAATACACAATCTGGTGGCACTGGTCCTTTATCTGACAACAGTGGCTCAGGTAAAAAATAGTTTTTTTGATAAAATTCTACTCATAAAGACAAAAGTACTAGTTTTGATTTACTTTTCTATATAATAACATTTTGATTATGCAATATGAAAAGTAAAATCTGTCTTAAGTGGAACACCTTTGGCTTGCAAGGTGTTCCATTTATAGAGGTTCCTATTACATTAAGTCAGTCAGTCACTTAGGACTCTGAAAAGTATTCGACTAACAGAGGTGTTCCACTTCTATAGGCATTCCACTTTTAAATACGCTATAATCCTGCACAGTCAATATTTTCTGAACCCCTGTCTACTTCTGTCTAGGGCGTGTGCCCATTAACAGATTTAATGATATTTTATTTGACCAGGTTATTACATCTATGCTGAAGCCTCAGATCCTGCTTCCAGTGGTGACTACAGCACGATCACCATGTTTGGTATGAGAAAAGCCAAACAGCTACCAACAGCTCCTGGTAAACTAACATTCTACTACCATGCATTTGGAGAGCATATCGGTTCCCTAGATGTAACCTTAGAATATTTTTCCTCTGGTTCATCTGTTAAGAAAGAGACATCGTCTATTGTAGAAGGTAAGTTGTGTTGATCAGTCTACTATTTAGTATCATACCAAAAACACTTCAGAAAGTTGTCCTAGATAATTCTTAGTTGACTCATGTAATACTCATAATAGTAAGAACCAGTATTTGGTAATTTAATGACTATATTGCAATTTCAATGCAACTGTCGTGCTCAACCTTAACAGTACCAAACTTATTGGTGGTGGTATTTTCTCAAAAGGGCCACAGATGTTGGATGAACACAAACTTTGGAGGTATGCAGAAGTGGATATCCCTTCATTCAGTGGTGTTTCACTTGATAACCTCAACATTAGCTTTAGAGTTGAACGTGGTGAAAGCTACAATGGTGACATTGCAATTGATGATATCACAGTGGTATTTGGTAACAAGGCATCAGGTACTATTTACATCTGCTTGATATAAACTAAGCTTTAAATGAGATGTATGTATGTGCTATGGAAAGATTTCCTATGATTCAAGGTGGTATAACCTGTTGTGATAATACTTTATGTCAAAGCCTGACTAGCAATTGTCCCTGTTGTGTTATCTTATTGTACCTATTGTGTTATCTCGTAGTACCTATTGTGTTATCTTATTGTACCTATTCATGTTCTACTATTGTACCTATTCACATTATTTTATTGTACCTATTGTGTTATCTTATTGTACCTATTGTGTTATCTTATTGTACCTATTGTGTTATACTATTGTACCTATTCATGTTATACTATTGTACCTATTCACATTATTTTATTGTACCTATTCATGTTATCTTATTGTACCTATTCACATTATTTTATTGTAGCTATTGTGTTATTTTATTGTTCCTATTGTGTTATCTTGTGATTCAGATGCAGTTTCTGGAATTAAAGAAGACATGCCTCTAGTCACCACAACTACAGGTACAAATTCTTTCATTGTAGTGTTGTCATTTCCATCTTTATTTTTTACAATTAAGATTAAGTAAATCCTTATTTAATTTTATTATAAATAAAGTATATACTCAAATTAAAATTATGCTTGAATTTACACAAGCCCATGAATGTACCCAATTGACTGTAATACTTGTTTTCAGTGACACCAGGATTATTCATCGCTGGTGCCTACTGGGAAAAGGAGAGTGGGGCTTACCTTCCTGGGAACAATGATTTTGTTCTGAACGACGTGACAGTTGAACAGTGTCTCCAGGCTTGTGTAGAACGACAGCTCGGATTTACATGCAAGTCAGTGGATTATGTGGTCAGTGAGGGCAAGTGCCTTCTGTCAGCAGCAAGTAGAACTTTACCAAACAAAATCCCATTAGGAAGATTGTCAACATTGGATTACTACGAGAGACTGGAATGTAAGTTTATTTAAGTCTTGACTTCCGTCCTCTTCTTGGTAGAAGCCAACCGAGTCCCCCACTTGAATTTCCAAGGGTGGGTCTATGGGTACCTATAAAAATAGGCATATAGGCAATTCAAACTTTTTCTCATTAAAAGAACCAAATACAACCAAAACTCCAAAATCCTGAGAATTTCAGTTTTAACCAGATTTGAGGATATTTACAATATTTGGTGCATAATGAGTGTGTACAAGCTATAATGTTAACTTACTTTAATTCCAGCTCCACCTTCCACTCCATCAGTCACCACTACAACACCAATCACCACTTCAATGCCAGTCACCACTTCAACACCAGACACCACTTCAACGCCAGTCACCACTTCAACACCAGACACCACTTCAACGCCAGTCACCACTTCAACGCCAGTCACCACTTCAACGCCAGTCACCACTTCAACGCCAGTCACCACTTCAACGCCAGTCACCACTTCAACGCCAGTCACCACTTCAACGCCAGTCACCACTTCAACGCCAGTCACCACTTCAACGCCAGTCACCACTCCAATGCCAGTTACCACTTCAACACCTGTTACCACTCCAATGCCAGTTACCACTTCAACACCTGTTACCACTCCACAACCAGTTACCACACCAGCGCCCACTACACCAGTCACCACTCAACCATCACCTAGCACGCCTACCCCTACCCCAACATTGGATCCCGAAGATAGTATGATATTTATTGTGGAAGCAATGGATGTACGAGCGGGACAACCAGCTCAGGGTCTTGAAGGACAACTGAGTTACTGCAATATGGATGGTTCTAGTTCAGGTTGCATGTGGACTGTTTTGGCAAGGTAAACTCATGTGATTTGTACAATATATATCATTCAAACATATTGTCTATAGCTTCAAATTAATGATTTTGATAGCTTCAATCACTATGCTTGATTTTAAGGTCAACTTTCATTACATTTAACTAGGAATGTTAGCAGAACAACTATTCAGGGTTTATTTTTGTATTGCATTACTTATATCACCAATTGTACAACTAAAGGAGCAGGGAAAGTATCGCAACAGACTTTTGATAATTTTGACAGTTGATAATTTTTTTGTGAGTAGTTTCTGGCTGTAAAAAGTAAATGCTTGGGAAAGGCGAATCTATAATCTTCAAGAAAAGTTCAAAAAATAGTTTCCAGATCAATTGGATTATCTTATAATCCATGTTTAATCCACCCATCAACAAGGATTTTCAAAATACATTCGTCATTTTCACCATCGTCCCTCATTTTTTTAACAATTTTTCATGCAAAGTTACATTGTACTTGAACACATGTTTCATCAAGTAAAATATGTAAGGAACTCCATGAAGTTTGTTTTTGAGTTTTTTTTGAAAAATGAACCTCTTAAAATGCATGTTTACAAAAATAATTTAGGAGTGAGGTAAAAGATGGCAATGTTTTTCAATAATAACATGCATAGGTGGGTGAATTACTCATGTGTGTTGTGTTTTAATCCTGCATTCACTGACTGAGTTAGCCTATTGAAAAATCATAGAGATTAATAATACAAACAGTAATACTATGAATACTTCTACTTCAAGCTCAAATAGCGCTTTCAGGGTCCTGTGTTGAAATACTAGATCACCTTATGTGCATGAATTTTCAAGAGAAACCATCAGTGCGAGCAATTAAATGAAAGCATCATCCGAACATCACTTGAAAAGTACTAAAGTAGTGAAAAATTGCAGGATGTTGACAGAAAATGTGCCTAGGGGAGAGGGTCGTCTCTCAACCCCCCTCCTCCCCCTCCCTGGTCACGGGACTAATACATGTGATATGGCAAAGTCCAATTCATAGATTAAGTTTCCCTTGCAGTCTTGTTGGCATTTTTATTAGAGTTCATGTTTTGTTTATGTTAATGGGTGAGTGGAAGACCCTTGGGTGGGAATCAAATATAAAATGTTTTCTAAAATATATATTTGAAATACTTTGTGTATGTACAGTCACAAACTCTAGGCAACATTAACTAGTAATGGGGCAACACCCCAACTCAATTGAGTGAATGTGTAAACCATATAAGGAACAAAAAACATTACATAAAACAAACTCAGCATGCAAACATGTAAAACTGGCATGGCAAAACAATAGATTGTGAAACTGAATAATAAAAGCACATACGACTAGAAAACAAGGGATTAAGGACCTGTTAAAATGACATGAATGGGGATTGGTCAATATGAATAGTAGAAATATGAAAAATGTGAAAATTTTACATTTAGTATTGATCATGAACATTAGAGAGGTTAAGTACATAGGCTCGCAGGCAGGTAGAGGGGGAGAGATAAAGGGAGCTGCTGCTCCCCCAAGAGATTCTTTCAAAATGATGCAGTTTCTCACCAATCTGAGCACTTCGCATGATTTTTTAGCCAAAACTGTCAAAAAGTTCATCCCTAGGCAAAAGCTTTGCCCTTGGTAAAACTGCTCCTACCCCTTGGTAAAAGCTGGCTACAGACTGTGTAAAACACTTGTGTGAGAACTTGAACATGAACGAGTACTGTTATGACCCCCAGTAATGTTGTCCATCTCTCAACTGGTTTAACTAGGGACCATTACATCAATTGGCATTATATCAATCAGGCAAAAAGAGGCCAGTGATGTGAAAATAGTCAATAGCACGGTGTTATAGCATGACGGTTACGCCACCTCTGAAAACGAGGTTGGACAGCTACGTTCACTGATTTATCCAATAAAATGACCGCGATGGAAGAGAAAACTAAGGTTGGCGCATTATTTTCTACTTCTGTGTATCAATGAAAGGATGAACGATTTATGTAAGAATCGCATTCGGTGATACTTTCAGTAATGTATATTTTGAACGTAGCCTTTGCAAATTGATGCCTGGGGATAACATGAAATAAGAGAAAAACTGTCGAGTTTGAAATTCAAAACTACACAAAAATTTAGTAAATTGTTTATTTTTGTTTTTGTTGTTAGGGCATGGTCTACATTGCCTAAAAACCTTGTGGTATATAGATGTAACCTACTTACGATCATACAAAGCCAATTGAGCATTGGAAACCACCTAATATGTTCTACTCAAGCCATAATAATGTATTTTGAATTAGCAGTAGTTATACACAGTTTACTTATACTTACAGTTAATATTTTGAGTGGCTCATGTACTGAGACAACATGAGAATGGATCAAAACTTATAAACTTTGATATCTCAGTCGGTAGGTTTACAGATTATATTCTGTTTCTTGTAGACCACCTTTTGGACCCAGTCTTTATAACCATCCATATATACGTCACCGAATGGAACTAGTTTAAAAGGAAATCTTATCTGTGAATATTGCCTACAGGCGAGAAATAGGACATGCTGCCTTTCCCATCCGCCATTTTTTGTTATCGTTACCGCAAAATTTTGCAAATCGCCTTGACGTAACCGTCATGCTTTAACACCGTGAATAGTGGACCATAAGTTTACACATTCCATGTGTACGTTCATCAAAATAGTGCGATCTTAACCTCCCTAATAACTGAAATTGTTGACTCAACCAATAGAATCATTCTATGTTTGTTTATATTTGTTCACATTAATATGGAAGAAAATCGGACATTTTGCTAAAAAGATGTTATTGTAAATCTTAGAAATAATGATAAAGGTAGTATACACCACACACTCAATGGTATTGATTGTGGTTTTCAGAGACTCTCAATAGGGACTTTAACTTGCAATGTTTTTCACAACCTAAATGTGAATGGAAAATATTTAGCGATGCATTTGTATGGGCGATTGGTCATAGGTTGGCGTTTCGATTTTATATGCAAGCTTAATCTCCCTAATGTTAACATTAAGGTAAGAGTGTATGTTACTCATAACATTTTCTTAGGATAACATTTCTTGAATTGATGAATATGCAAAAATTATTCTTAGCATATCATCCTTCATTTCATTATTTGAATAATCAATCTGGAGATATACTCAAATAAGGAAGTGTGTTATAACACATCATCATATAGAAACATGTTCAATGTTTTTTCAGAAGCTGGATCAAAATATTTGTCTTACTAAAATTATTGGCAAAGGTATGATGTACTAAATTCTTGTACTGTATGTATGATTTTAATAGCACTATATACCTTGTGAATCATTACTGATAAACAAGATACAGAAAACCTGTTCAAAGTAAATGCTATAATAAGGCATCATAGAAATTATCATAAAGAGAGGTATTTAGAATTTCTTAGCAACTTACACACACACACAGGTTTAACTGCACTCAAACATTAAACAGTCAACTTGACAGGTATTCAGAACTTTTTGGGAAATGCTGAGGTTATGCTCCATTGATTAAACAGGGGATCAAACAGCAGGGGATCAAACAAGTCCAACCATTCATTTATGAAAACATTTTGAACTAACTTTATGGCACACTAATGACATCTTATATGAGTGTGCTGTACTAAAAGCATAGCCCCATTGGATCCCCTTATATTGGATTATCATAATCCTAATCCACAAGGAGTTCCTTATATATTTTAAGTGATGAAACATGTGTTCAAGTACAATGTAACTTTGCATGAAAATTGTAAAAAAAAATGAGGGACGATGGTGAAAATGACGATTGTATTTTGAAAAAAGCTTGTTGATGGGTGGATTAAACATGGCTTATGAGATAATCCAATTGATCTTGAAACCATTCTTTGAATTTTTCTTAAAGATTATACATTGGCCTTTCATATGCATTCATTTTTGTACAGCCAGAAACTACTACAAAAAATTATTTACTGTCAAAAATCTGTTGCGATACTTTCCCTCGCTCTTTACTAGGGAAATATTTTTGTAAAAAATGACAAAACATCACTAAAACATCACAAGGCATTATCATGCAAAATGTCATCACCTGCCATTGGTTACAGACAACGAATGCAAACCACCAAACACCAACCATCATCCACAAAAAAGTTGGAAACTTTAACAATATGCAACATCTCCTGGTTTTAACATAAAAATGAAAAGCTAGAAACAGCCATGTGATGTGATGCCTCCATTATGCCAGTTCTTCCGCTGTACAATCAATACCCTATTAAAAACACAGACAACTCAACTCAACTCAAATAATTTTACATTTTGATTTTCTGTAGATCAAGTGATTATGAGGCTGGATTGGGAGTTGCTATCATTCCACGTGATCAAGTCAAAACTGGATTGTACATGTTCAGACTAGATATTGGAAAATACTATATCAAGCAGAATGTGCTTAACAGTGTATTCCCCTTTATAGAGGTACTATTCTTATTAAATTCAACAAAGTATTCTGCAAAAAGACTGCAATAAAACAGTAGCGAAACATGTGAAAAGAAATATTGAATAATATGAGAGTTGCAGTGATTTTCCAGGAATTTAAACATGTTTTTTATGTTAAAATAATTGAGTACAGTAAAACCTGTCTAATCCGAACACCCATGGGACCAGCCAAAAGCGTTCAAATTGGCAGGTGTTCAAATTTCGAGGATATTGTTGGTCGGGGGGGGGGGGGGGATTTTCATTGTTCGGTCCACTATATTGAACACTTAATACTTAGTCAGAAAACAATACATGTTGTTGATGAGTTTATTCTACAATAGGCCTATAGCCTACATGTATATGCTATGTTTTATTTACATTTTGAACAATTTCATTATTTTTAGAAAAATAACTTTAATTTTGGCAAAAACTTTGTAATACACTGAATAAATATATGATAGTCATGTACGAAATCTTATGCTTATTAAATGACTTATCTCATATTATGGTTACATAGCACTGCTTTACTTTAGCTTGAAAAAGTCGTTCATTGTTGTTTGTTTCTTGGCACTTTTAGCATTAGCAATATTTGAGTAGATACCCTCTTCAATTAAAAATAATTTTTCATGAGTGCTCATTCGAGATGATGCATAATCTTTCAAAATATCAAGGGCATTCAGGATGTCAGATGTGCCTTTTTAGGAGGCATTTTAGTGATAGGATATTACGAAGTTGAATTTTTTCTCTTTCTTGTGATATAATCTTGTCTGCAAATGTGTCTGTGTTGTCTTTGTGATTATAAAACATTTACTGATTGAATCCTAGCTATCATAACAGACCCATTGGATATAAAACAGTTAAAGACTTGTTCATAATCCAAATCAAAAACATCCAGTTAATTTAAAATAAGGATAAACCAATTATCTCCCAGATTCTCACATTTCTCTTAATCCAAATCAAAAACATCCAGGTAATTTCTAATAATGATAAAACAATTATAATCTTGTCTGCAAATGTGTCTGTGTTGTCTCTGTGATTATAAAACATTTACTGATTGAATCCTAGCTATCATAACAGACCCATGGGATATATAACAGTTAAGACTTGTTCATAATCCAAATCAAAAACATCCAGTTAATTTAAAATAAGGATAAACCAATTATCTTCTTGATTCACACCTTTCTCTTAATCCAAACATAAAACATTCAGTTCTTTTCTAATAGGATAAACCAATTAACTCCCGTATTCACACCTTTCCTGTTGTTTTCCACAATTAGGGATGTCATTGAGACTTAAATAAGTTAATTAGGACAATATTGGTTACATTGCATATGCATTACATTGCATATGTAAAGAAGAACTAAATTAAGAACTATAACATTGACTCAATATGTGGCTATTATTGAAATGTCCATGCAGACATTTGATTTCTGATAAAATGTTCAGATTAGACAGGTCAGTTTTTCAAATCTGGTTGTTCACCGTTCAGATTAGGAGGTGTTCAGATTTCAAGTTTTTTTTAACATGGGAGTCAATGGGAGGAAAAAATGGGACCGAAAAAAAGTGTTCAAATTGGAAGGTGTTCGGATTAGCCAGGTGTTCAGATATACAGGTTTTACTGTACTTTACATTGTCTTTAGGTGTTCTATCTCAGTTTTATCATCTATCTGACTATAGAGGAGCCCGTAATTGTCAAATGGTTAAGTTATTCCCTTATGAGTATTTCCTTTATATTTATAGGTAGGTTTCAACATTGTGTCTGTGACAATGCCAGCTGCTGTGGTTTCTGTTACATTCAGTCCTGTCTCATGTTCTATGATTGCTCGTGATCCAACCTCCAAGAGTTACGTGAAGCTACTTGAGCTTATCCAAAGTATACCTGCTGGTGAATGTCCTAATTACAAACCAGAATGAAAATTTAAAGAATGAACTTTTACAAAATATCTTGTTTATGGTTGGTTTGTTTACCTCAAAATATACTATTTGTGTCTTTCAGAACATACAAGTATCTTGTTTATTTATTGCTATATGTAATTTCATTTTGAAATGTTTAATAAATAGATATACATTTGTTAAATCTAATGATTTTGCATGTTGGTTTCTTGAGAGGATGACCTTTGAATATACAGGACTTTGTAACCTTGACCTTCTACAGAGGCCATGTTCTACCTGACCTCCCACCTGACCTCCCAATGCCTTATAAAAATAAAATGTGTATTTACTAACAGTTCACTAACATATCCAAGGGAGCAGGTAGTGATCCTAAGGAGCCCTTAAAGGATGTATATAACTATCAAAGGCTTAGAAAACAATAAAAATGAGTTTTTTGAAGAATATCTTCAATTAGATTTATTTTCATCAAATACAATTAAGACTCTTATTTCACTCTAAATGTTTAAGTAAAGGATCAATATGATATACACACGGCAACATCAGGTCCGTAGCCAGGGGGGTTCGCAAAAATTCTTTCAAAATCCTGCAGTTTTCACCATTTTGAGCACTTCTCAAGTGATTTTAGCCATATTTGGGTCAAAATTGTCAAATGTGAATCCCCCCTGGAAATTTTTGAAAACTGAACCCCCCCTTGGCAAATCCTGGCTACGGGCCTGAATGTGCTGTATTTAGGCTTTGAAAAGTGTGAGTTTCCTTAGAGGTAAAAGTTGCCAGGACCATATGTACTCGCTATCATCGACCACATAAAATGTACCTAAGCGCCTGTGAGCAAAACTGGCATAATACAACATTGTCATCTGTGAAATGTAAACCTATTTGAACAAACCACGAGTGTTCATTTAAAGTATATTTATTCCATATAAACTTGAAATTAATCTTATCACAAAACTATAATAATTATCATTTTGAAAATGTTAGCTATTATGTCTGAGACACATGACAGTAGTACTACACAATAAAGTATGTCTCAGTTTTAAGTGTACCACAATGGTAATGATGAACACTACACTTTTTAAGAACATAATACAACAATTTATTTTCACCATTTTGTTGCGCAAGTGCCTACTAACTACATATCCTTATTTTATAACAAATCTGAATAAAAGTGGTACAAAACAATTAGATACTACAGTAGCACTGTAGTTATAATGGTCTCATCATATATAAAACCACATACAGTACACTCATACAGTACACTCCCTACCTCAAAAACTGGACATATTTTTGCAACCTGAAGCTACAGCAAGATTGCTCAGTTTCATTGGCCAGGTGTACATTACCATGCATTGTCGATACAAAAATTCTTCAATCCATTGAATCTGTGGAAATCAGTATATCATTAAGAGAACAATAGAATAATTGTTGCCTGTAATGTATCACTGTTTATTGCTCCCGCCAACATCGGCTTTTTCTAAATTACAACAGCTTATTCATGACTAAAAGAGAAAGTTCATGTGGTACATGGCCGGTACAGACATCTGGAATAAACATTTCCATTCCACTTTATGCCATCATAACAAAAAATAGTCGGAGTGCAATTTGAATATGTTTCCATTATAAATAGGATTCTTCACATTTTCATATTATATACAGATTATATCAAAATGTATCGTACAGATATGAAAATTACTTACATATTCAGTAAAAAATCTACATTCAAATACTGGTACATATTATATGTGTCGTGTAAACATTGACGAACAATGTAAAACATATACTCTCTACTATGTGCTTTATTTAGAAAGCCAATATATATTTATAGACTACAAAAACATTGGCAAATACTATAATATTAATTAATATGGCATTTACATACCAAATATCACCACCTTGAAGCAAATTGTATTGGAGGGTAAAAACTTAGTGTCAGTCACTTAATCTGTTGCCATAGTAGCCAATATTGCCCAAAATCTGTCAATAAAACATCTAAAGATGTTCATTGTTTTAACTGAAGTCAATCTCAACAGACCTCTTAATTTACTGATATGTAACAATTAAATTATATGTGAACCTTGTCTATGGAACTTTACTCGCAAGTTTTGGGATAAATCTTGCCTCATTTAATAACCCCTCAATCTGAAGAAGATCTGAAGAATCAATTATAACTAAAATTTACATAAAATGTGTTGTAACCATCATATGTGAGACTACCATCATATACGAGACTACCATCATATATGAGACTACTATCCTATAATATGACTGCCATTGGCAACAGAAATTCAAGATTTTATAATAATCTTTTAAAAAGATATTTATCGGATGATTTTGTTGATATTAATCACTATTGCAGCAGTGATGTTTTTGATATTTTTTTGAAAAATTGATATTACAGTCATGTGTGTGATATTGACATGATTGAATTTACAGATATGATTGACAGATCAGATTAGTGCCAAATTCAAGGTCAGTGATTCATCAAATAAGATAATTTCATATTGATCAATAAATGTGAGAAAATTGTATATAACTAATTAATAAAGGATTTTGGAACAATAAAAATAGGATATATTGAAATTAAATCATATCAAGAGAAATATTCTATTCTTTTCAATCTGCCATCAAGTTATCTGTAAAATAGTATGTTGTATTGAACATTTGTGACTTAATTACAGCATGTAGGAATGTGTCAATTGTACTAAAGTCTTAGTCAATGCATTAGGAATGAGCTTTCTTGCTATAATTTTCAATAATTCAAGGTCATTGGAATTTTGTTTCCTAGCTTAAAAACTAAATCAACTGAAGAAAAATTATTGAATCACAGACAGAAGCATCCCATTTGCAACATATTGCTGTTTTGTGGATACAAATTTTTTATTGCAAATTATAGCCAAAATGCTCATTCCTACTGCGTTGACATAGACTTTTTTTTACATTTTAGTTGAAAACACAAGTACAGTATGTCAACTGTTGTGTTTTGTTAGGAACAACTTTTGATATGTGAAGTCTCAGGTTTTCTGACTCTTATATAGAAGTTTTACTGTAACATCCATCATGAGCCAACTCTCCACCTCATGTAATACTGTAAAAGAAGAAAATTCCCCAATCGTTTTCTGGTTTTTCTCCTTACCCTGATTCACATCCATGTTATCAATCAAAGTGGTTTTTGAATGACCAGGCAGTATTAATAAATTATAACATACCTATGATGATGTATAGTGCAAAGTGTACACAAGACAGCGGGCCAATATAAGTTTTGAAAAGCCCGTGCCCGCTAACTTTCTGATTGGTCAAGGCACTGACATCATAACCAATCAACCGAAGATAAACTGCGCGAGCAATTTTTCTAAACTCATTTCAATCATTTTCAAACCATTTGTTTGTCAATTCTATAAGAAAACGGTACTCTCTGACCAGTCTACATCATCATATGTATGTTATAAATCGTTTATGTCACTATCGTGGCACATATGCCCTCGGTTCTCAGAGATCAATGTCCATCCCAAGGTCGGGCCATATATCACTGAGACCTCGGGCATATATGCCACGATAGTGACATAACCTCTAATTATTACATCATGGCAAGAGTCACATTATTCTGATTGGTTAATGTAGAACCATGTGATCAAAAATACCATGATTTTTCACACCTCCTTTGATTTTCGATTTGATAAAATACATTTTGCCTCATGTATTGCTAGCCCATGGATTCTGATCATAGGAAATGATAAGCAATGATATAATAGAACAAATATTCATTCTATGTTCATGCAATATACCTTCAGCGATTCTTGCAGGGATGTATTGCCCTTCTCTATGGGCTGTGGCAAATGGGTCACTATTCAAGTTTTTACATGTAGTATTAAGACACTTCTGTCAAGGGTCCTTCATAGCCACAAATAATCAATTCCTCCATTCAATGAGGCTTCAATGCTCAATGTGGCTCCAATGATCAATGAGGCTTCAATGCTCAATGTGGCTCCAATGCTCAATGAGGCTTCAATGCTTAATGTGGTTCCAATGAACAATGTGGCTCCAATGATCAATGAGGCTTCAATGCTCAATGTGGCTCCAATGATCAATGAGGCTTCAATACTCAATATGGTTCCAATTATCAATGCGGCTCCAATGATCAATGAGGCTTCAATGCTCAATGTGGCTCCAATGAACAATGAGGCTTCAATGGTTAATGTGGCTCCAATGCTCAATATGGCTCCAATTATCTATGAGGCTCCAATGATCAATGTGGCTCCAATCAGCTATGCGAGGACCCAGTGTGACTACTTTTTGTAAATTTCAGTACATCACTTAGTTTCTTTATCTGACGCGGTAATGTTGATCCTTTAGGTTTGGCACGTGGACCACTTGGTGAATGAGTCGATATTGGGTCTGCCGAGACATAATGTCCCTCAGAGTAATCTGTGTCGCTGGAACATGTGTCTATGCTAGTGGCACTGGCAATGTGACTGTGAGACTCTGGGGCGCTCTCTGACCGCTGCACCTGCTCAGCTACAAAACACAATAACATATACAATTCAATGATGTAATATTATCTAATTCCAGGTGATAACATGTAACAAACACAATGTCTATTAAACTTTACTTTTTACAAGTTTATTCAATATGTGATGTATTGTGTATCAAATAAATAATTGCAAACTACATGTTGGTGAGAATACAATGAGATGGAATTGAGATGCATGCATGATACTTTGACAGTATTAATATAAAAATCCCATATCTATGGTATAATGTAATTGAAGCAATAGCTGACTGGGTCATGGAGGTAAGGTAAGCAGATTGCAAGGAAAGCAACGAATCTCAGGCAGTGTTTTATTTGAAGATTTCTAAACAAATTGCTTAGATTCCTAAGCAGAATTTTTTAATACATTTCATGAAACAAAAGAACAATTCAATTCTATTTTAAGATAATATTAGTAAAAGCAGTAAGGTAAGCTTTACAGTGAAACCTGTCTTAGTGTACACCTGTGTCTAGTGAACACCTGTGCCTAGTGAACACCTGTGTCTAATGATCACCCCTTTTCAGCTCACACTCCATTGAGTTCGATATACAATTGCCCCATTGTATGTAGTGAGGAGCTACCTACAGTGAACACATTTTTGTGGTTCCATAGGTGTTCACTGTACACTGGTTTTACTGTACTTTAAAAAATCAGAGGTACTGTTTTGCATAATGCACTATTCAAAGATTTGCATGAGATCCCCCCAGTACAGGAGGGTCAGGAAGCTGACACATAGTATTTTCCTAGGGGGTGGGATTCTGACATAGTACTTCATCCCAGGAGTAGGGACTTTTCAAACAAATAATCCCTGATATCAAAATTCTGACTATATTTAACAGGTTATCATTGCTCCCAGACTAAGGAAACTGACTCACTGAGTTGCTCCCAAGGTAGATTTAACTGCCCAATTTTTAATTTGTCAAAATCCCAACCCCTTCCCACATGGAGAGTCTCATGTAAACATTAGAATGGAGCATAAGGCACTACAAAGCCAATAGGGGACGATATTCTAAGTTTGACTTACACTCATATGTAAGATTAAGAGGGACAGGGGGTGACTTGTTTAGAAAACAAATACATCTAAATAATACAATAAGGTGGAGGTACTATCTAGCACAAAGGTTGTAACTGATTAGCACAAAGGTTGTATCTCATAAGCACAAAGGCTCTATCTGATTACACAAAGGTTGTATCTGATTAGCACAAAGGTTGTATCTGATGAGCTCAAGGGTTGTATCTGATTAGCACAAAGGCTGTATCTGATAAGCACAAAGGCTCTATCTGATTAGTACAAAGGTTGTCTCTGATTAGCTCAAGGGTTGTATCTGATTAGCACAAAAGTTGTATCTGATTAACACAAAGGTTGTATCTGATTAGAACAAAGGTTGTATCTGATTAGCTCAAGGGTTGTATCTGATTATCACAAAGGTTGTATCTGATTACACAAGGGTTGTACCCAAGGTTTAAATAGCCATAAATGTTATAAATTATAAAATAAAATTATTTCAAAATTAAATTGATTACAATCATGAGAAACAATATTCTTCATTTTTATTTTCAAGTGTTCATTAATTCATAAGCTTGATTCCCAGTAAATTGGTAGAATAGAGATTTTCAATATGTTTTAGTGGTTGTTATTATAAACAATGAAAGAATAATCCATCATGTGTAACAAATGAGGATTTCTCATTCCATTTTAGGTTCCAGGTCACAGCAACATACATTTCTTCTCTCAATAAAAACACACACCGTTATATATTAGTAATTAAATATCTAGTCTTCATCACTTCAACACACGGAAATGTTACAATTTCAAGCCAACTCAGTACCAGTGACAGTGTAGCAGACTAATTTGCGCCCAGGAATTTGCGCCAGTGTGCCGAATTGATGAAGAAGTGATATAAAATATTTTCGGATTGTACTAACAATTATGGTTTACTACAAACTGTAGGATTCCTAGGGATTGTCTATATACACTTGGAAATCTGGGGCACTACTATTTCCCATACCCTTTGACTTTTTCTTTTTATGGTTTGTCATAGCTGTGAAAATAATAATCAACATACAAGGGTAAATGACAGAGACGAGGGGATGTAAACAAGGATATGTTAAGCATCACGTTGAAAATCAAGAGTTGAAATGGTTTTGTTTCAATGAATTGATGTTCTTTAAAACTCTAAAACCATAGAGACTTGTATGTATTTATGTATATACAGTATTAAGTTATATCTTAGACCTCAGAGTGAGTAAAAATATTTTTTATAAAAAAATAAACATAAAAGACAAAAACAACAATAAAAGTAGCACGATTTTTAAAAAAATTATAGAGAATTAATTCTCTACATTTAAATAAGAAAGATACAAAAACAAAACAATGTGTTACTCCATTAAGTAAAGTAGCATTTTGTTAAAAAATAAGTTTTACTTACTAGTATAATCTGACTGTGATTTGGGTCTCCCAGAGAAACTCTTTGCCATTTTTAGTTTGGTGAGTTGTTTCGTGATCCCTACAAGTCTACCCGTCTCTTTACTATTGCGTTTCTCTCTCTTCTCCTGAAATACACATTATGACATCCCTATTATTACATCACAGTTACATGAACCTGAGGGGGGGGGGGCATTATTACTTTCTGACCACTACAGTACATACCTGGCAGGCTACATGTATATAATATATTCACACAGCTAGGCATAATATACCCCAAAGTCCAGCCAATCAGAACAGATTATTTAACATGCATTGATACTGGGCCTAAATCCTTATTTTTTGTCTGCTCAGTAAAATGAATGCACATATTTTGATTACCATTTCTTGTAGGACTTCCTCTCTGTCCATGAGTATAAACCTTCCAGATATTCCCTTCCACTCTTTCTGAACAGCATAGACATTCTCATTGTCAGCCAAGATCCGTTTCTCTACACGTGAACTGCGTCTTTTACTGGGAGAATCTACACTGGCTTCTGTAGTCAGCTCCTCCACGAGGATCAAATTGCGAGAGTCTTCAGTCTCACTACGACCTTTTAAGATTGCCTGTAACAGTCAAATCATTGAGAACAGAATATATAATGGTAGCTTATATATAGACAATATCATATTAATTCTTTGGGATATTATTTTTTAAAATTTATAATTGAATAGCTATAGCTCTCATATGATATATAACATTTGGGAGTATGCTTTCTAGGACTGGCAGTTGATAAGGGGCAGTCATTACAAAACATTTCATCAAATAGATTTACCTGTTTGAGAACCAATATATACATGTATATTTTAATTTGCAAAGTTCAAGTAAGGAAGGCCAATAATGTGATGATTTACCTGAGCCTTACTAGAATGTAATAAGCTGCAAATTCATATTGCAAATAAAAAAAGCTTAACCTTGAAATTTTTTTACCTGTGTTATAATATCTTGAGCAGTGCTTGATATGGGGGCACGGAATATTGTATATGGCTGCATTTCAGAGACATTGTAAACACACACCAGAAACATCTGGTGGTCAGTGTCCCAAGTCTGTGATTCGCCATCATTGGAACTCTCAGTACCCAGTTCCTTAGTTACCAGTGTTGTCATCCAGGCTCTGCTGCTGGGGTCCTTAGCAACAAAGATTATGCATTATATTGATACCATAGATTTTGAGTAATTTTGATTCAAAAGTCATCGTAATCAATAATAATGCTCATGGGTGTTCTATTTCTATACCAGATTTCATATTTTTATTTTTGAATAGAAAAATCAGTACATTTAACTCACATTAGTTTTCTTTTTCAAATAAAATTTTCCACTTCCTCGCCATTTATTCTGTGCCAATAGCACTTTCTCATCTGGGTTTAATATTCTCTGCGAGCCTGTTCTCTGCTGCTCTTTCTTGTTCCAGCTTCTCTGGACATCCTCCATAAGTAGAAAGTCCTCCGTATTACAGTCTCCCGTCTTCCCAGCCTTAGCTAACGCCTAATGAAATGAGATCAGAATGTCATATATAATGTGGCCAATCCATGGAGGGAGGCAACATTTTTGAAAAGCGCGCCCAGATTACGCCCATTTTCAAAAAGTGTCCCAAGCTTTTTCTTGTGTTAGCAGATAATGGCCAATCATGAAGATAGAAGATATCTTTATGATACCGAAGTAAACTAAAAAGCTAGTTTTGCCATTAACTTGGATTGAGTCTCCCATCAAAAGACAAATACCTGTTTTATAGCCTGTTGGGTAGAGGTATCCTGTGTTACTCTTAGGATCATATATTCATCTGACGATGTCACACCAAATACACTTATGAAGAACATACGTCTTTTGGGCTTCACTGTTTGGATGTTGGTTGTAGTACCTCCCACTTGCTATATAATTAGAGGTACATGCACATGTATGGTGTATTGTACCACTATCACATTTCACAATTACAATCAGACAATAATAAAGACATTAGTGAGCATTCTATTCTGAAATTAAAATGTATTAAACTATGTCTTTAAAATATTAATCTCAGAAAAAATTCTTAACAAAAATCAAAACTCATATATACCTCTTTTTCTTTGATTTCTGATTTTCCAATTTCACCCATAGATTTGATCATATTAAACATTGATTTTTTCTTCTTCATTTGTTCATCGTGCGGATTCTCACTAACAGTGCCACCTATCACCTCTTCCTCATGTCGGGAATAGATAAACAGTGTAGAGAGCTCAAGTGGCTGGTTTGCCATTGTGCGTAGTCGAACATGACGGTAGCCAGGCCTGAGTGCCTTTAATGGGATTACCCTCTGGGATGTGATTCTACCACTGCCACTCTCCACAACTGTGAACCTCACAAACACAAGGTCTTTAAAGATCACCTGCAATTGTAAAATTATAATTGTCAGAATAAGTTAGAAAGGATTATTAAGAGTTTTATCAAGAGTATTGGGGAAGAAATGACTTTTTCACCAAAAGAAGTGCCAGATCTCCTGAACTGTCAAGGTTACTATATGTAAGAGTAGACAGGAGCATATTGTCTCATTCATTTACATCATCAACTAGCACAGTATATGTGTTTAACCCCCCACCCCGCACAGAGCAAGTTAAAAATATTTCTTAAACTGTAAATGAGAACCAAACAATTGATATCACATGCATGTGCATGTGGTATGAAATAAAATCAACTTGTATAAATGAGAAATGCAAAAATCAACTCACTTGGAATGTGAACACTTCATTCCATATAGGGTTAAGTGCATTCCTGGAGATGACCTTGCTCTTCTGTTTGGCACAGTCAGCATGTATTCCCAGCAGCTCAATCTCTACCATAGGACTACCTCCTTGATTCCCCTGACACACATATTGGCCCGATATAAGCTGTAATTATAACAGATTCAGAAATAAAAGCTTTATTGTATGTTCTTTACATATAGTGTGAATATTTTTTAAACTGACACTAACAACTTCAGATATATAGGGTCGGTTGAAGACAGCCATGAGAGGAACACGTTTCAAACTCCAGCTACCGATTAAGTCCAAATAACATGAAACTCTGTAATAGAACATTTTGATGAGGTACAATTTGTACCAAAGTTCCACTTATAGGTTTCGCATACTTGGTAAAGTAAATTGTATGGACTGCTGTGAAAATTTAAGTGATTTGCAGCTTCAAGCAACAAAGCTAACTCACATGTACAGTAAGTGTTGTAGCATGAAGGCCATCATACTCTTTCTCCCATGGGTTGAACCTGTTGAACATAACATGCTTTCTGTCCCACATGACCGATGGCTTCAAGACATAACCACTGTTCCCTGTCTGCTCATACATTGCAGCATTGATGTGCATAGGAACATCTGCAAATAAATATAAGCATGAAAACTCATGATGGTACTTTCATTCTTGTATTTGGCTTTAGAGTCATGGGAACCTCTTTAGAAACATACATATAAATACAATAATATTGAATCGTATCATAAATATAATTAATATATCACCTTTTCAAAATGCAATAAGAAAAGCTATATTTAAATTGTATCACATTCATTTCCAGTGATCTTCACAGGAATTTTTATAATTTTTCCACCTTTCAAGTGGGTGCAAATGGATTGCAGGTGGGTACAAGCCTATTTTCAAAATCTCAGGTGGGTGCTGCGCCTACTTGTTTTAATGCTGGGGGGATCACTGATTTCTTAATTGCCTACGTACATATTTGAAATTGAAAATTCTGTAGTTCTAGAAAATCATGACTGTGTGAAGTCATTGTCATACCAGAGATCTGATAGTTGAGGGCCACAAATTGTATCCCAAAGGCCCAGAAGATGATTGGATTAAAGTTTGAAGAGTCAATTCTGAAGCCCGCTGGGTAAATCCTCATCAACTGCTTCTCACGCTGGCTGAGTGTGGGTAAAGGAAAAATATATGTGGTGTGAATGAGATTCAACAAAAGAACAATTTGTCATACATTTCCAAAGAAATAAAGAAAATTTGGGGTTCACTTCAGCAAACATAATTTGCCATTGACTACAAAGTGACCCTTTGATAAAATAGATCCTGGCCCCTAGTGTATAAATCTGAGCCTTTTCAACAGCAAAGGCGAAATAATAGAAAACAAAATCATCGGACTGTGTAACAAAAACGGAACAAGATGTTTCAGTAAATGATGGATAAATTAGTAAGATTTTCTTAAAGGATACTTGATCATTTGTGTTGGGTATTTCTTGCAGACTTGCTTGGCTTTGCTTTCATTGAGGGATGACATATGGTAGCAGGAAACATTGCGTAAAGTCTTCTTCTGGCTTGAGGACACCGTCAGTTCATTCGACTTATCAACACCTAAAAAATAATTAAGTATGTTTATTTACTGGTACTGTACTTCACAAATCAAGTGAATTTTGAATCTACCCATGTTGTGTTTGTCATATATGCTTCTATTTCCTATGCAAGAACATCAATGTCATTATATTTTGGTTAATTTAAGCAGCAGAACACATTGCCTGTTCTACAAGTCTAACTTTATGTAAAGTAGCTGTCACATTAGGCCATTAGGGCTCACCATTAATTTTTGTATTTGGTGTGAGGAGGGCTATCTTGCTATAAAACTATTTGCTTTGCCCACCATGTGTTCATGTCATGCCCCACTGTCTACAACAAAGTATTCAAACGTTAAGCCCACAGTTCATGGCCTAATGTGACAGTTTCATAAACAAGATATACTACAATTCTAGTAAATAATAACAATGTTCAAATGGTTTATTTCATGTTGATTATAAACATGCACAGATCTTGATTGAATACAAACAGACATTCAATGTTGTATGTCATGAAGTTTGGGACAATCATGATGCAAACCCACCTTGAGCCACGCTTTGTGTAAGCTGTAGGGAAGGATTTGTTGGTTTTCTAGTTGTTGCTTTCTTCTGGCGATCCTTGACAGACTGCGGTGGACTGACATTGATACCTATAGAGTAGAAGAGCAATTCAGTCCTTCAGTTACAATAAAGAACAGGTTAGCATATTGCCTATATGTTGTGTACATGAAGTTTCGGTTAACAATGCCTCTAGCAAAGTTATATTTTAGGTATAATGTAATATTCATACACCAATAGCAGGGAATAATGAACTTTTACCTTGCTGATGTTTAACTTCATAAGCAAGTACCTCTTACCTCTATACTTTGATGCCTGAGTGTATATGACTAAATCTGACAATTCCTGAGCTATTTGTACTTTCTTCTGCTTGCTAGCTTTGGGTGGTTGTTCTGTGGACACTTCCTCTTCAGTGAACTCCCAGCCAGAGTCTGGTTGACTCTTTCTTTGTAGGGTTGTATCCATGCTGCCATTGCTGGAAGATAGGATGGACACATAAATGATGGATGTACACGTAGATGATGGGTATACTCATGAATGATATACACTTAAATGACGGATATACTGTGATGGATATACCACATAATTGGTGGATATACCACATAATTGATGGATATACTGCATAATTAATGGATATACATATTAATGATAACAAATGAACTTGGAAAAACAAGTTCTCATTTGGACAATTAACTAAATGCCAATATGTTGAGTTGTGACAATAATGTTTTCAACCTAATTCATGAACCCAGGCCTATGTTGAGTTTGGGCATTTTAGGATAACTCTTTCACAGTGAGAATAGGATATGCACATAAATGATGGATACACACATAAATGATGGATAATAGATGATTCTATGTTGAGTTTGGGCTTATCTAGGATTACTCTTTCACAGTCACGTAACCCTTGTGATGACAATATAGCCATCATAGTAAGCTATGCATGACATTATGATTTAATTGTTTACCCAGTTGTGGGTTCTTCTAAAGAGCCAGATCCTCCTGACCTGGAGTCATCTAGGGAGCCTGATCTTAGATGCCTCAATGGAGGATGCGTTTTATCATCATCTCCTGGTTTCCTGGCTACATATGTGATTTCCTTTACTGTAAAACATAATAGTTTCTTACATTAGGCATGTCAAGTCAATGAGGAAGACCTGCTTGTTTTAAGGCTGTTTAGTAAAAGTGGACATGGAGGGTTCTAATTAATAATATTTGTTTAAAAAAAATGAATAAGATGATGTACTGTCATGCTAGGATTATACTTTCGTATAATAAAAATAAAACAACACTTGCTATGAAAGGGAGTGGGTTGGCAACCCATGGGCTTTATAGAGTCCATTGTAACACTGTTCCATATGAAATGGCCAATGACATCTAAAGATTTTAAATGAATGCAAAAAGTGCCAAAAATTTTACTTTAAATTAAATTTTTAAAATGTACATGTAATTAAGCAATGTTATGTACAAGAGTCAAACCATAAAATAACAACCTATATTAAATAATTTAATATTATCATTAAGAGTTATGCTAAAAATATTTCACAATCCCAGGAACAATAAGATGAACACACATATTGAATACATTATGACAGGCACTCCTCCTAAATCTAATGCAGTAAAAAACAATCTGAAGAACTTCAGTTATTTCTTCCAAAATAGAATTGAGTGTCTAGATGCTAAATGTAGATTAAACTGGTATAAAGAGTTATCAGGTAAAATCACTCCAATCAGACAGTGTATATAGTAATGGCAAGGAAATGATACTGCAAAACCACAGAATAATTAAAAATCAATTATGAGCTACAATCTAACATTTATCACACCATAAAAGAAGTATGAAATAACAATATTTCAAGGCAATAAAATAGTGATTTTATTGTATGAATCAAACCAATTTAAGTATGAAATAGTCAAGTGTGAAAAAATCAAGTAAATGAATAATTTCAGTATTTTGTATCCAAGTATATGTCAAGGAGTTGGATGAAAATATGAAAATAATAAAAATATGAAAAGAAATAAGCAGGAAATACAGTAGAACCTGACAAATGGAACACCTCTATAAGTGTTACACCTTTGAAAGTGGAACACCTTTGTAAGTGAAACACCTTTGTAAGTGGAACACCATTCAGAGTCTTACCATCCATTAACTTAAAATGTTTCAACGAAAGTTTAAGTCCAATTTGTTAAGTCATTATTAGTTAGTTTGAACCATACTTCCACTATGTTACATCAAGATAATTAAAAATGTATGCTTTGTAAATTTGTACATTACAATAACTGTTCTAACATGACATGCTTTATGTATAACACATTTTATTTTTTCAAAACATGGAATCCATACACCCCTCGGGGTGTCCTTTTCATATCACTTGTAAATTAATATTGTATGAAAACTAGAATTGAATAATAAATTGAATTGAATTGGAAATAATGTCAATTGAACCTCTTTAAGTGTAGCACCATTTCAGGGCAACACATCAATGCGTTTCCACTCGCACAGGTTTTGCTGTATTCAAGTATGAACAATTCAAGAATAAAGCTGTTAAGCGGTGAATCAAAAAAGCTACAAAGAGTGTTCAATGTATCATCAGCTGACCTACATCTACTTTTGTTCATCATCTTCAGATTCTGGAAGATCTTCCAGATATGTTCATCCTCAGTCGCATTTGATCTATGGCAACTGTGCGGCTGCCGTAGCTTCAGAAAATTAAAATAGAAAATCGACATCATACTGCTTATCCCTATATTCTAAGCTGCACAGTTCTCTTAATTTTGGGAAGCTACGGCAGCCATATGGTTGCGTTTGATCAAATGTGGCTGAGACATTATTCATCTGTCTATACTACATTCTACATTTATAATACTAATAATCATTAATTCAATCATAATTCTTGTTGGAACACAGCAGGTGCTGAAGCCAGATTCTCTACAAGGCAATCCAGGGCAGTTAGACCATACATCTACGTTTCCTTTTTTTAACTGGTAATGCCTTATGATTAAGGTCTTCAGCTGGTCTATGGGATTTGTCGTTACTTAGCTGCTCATCTTCGGGAAGGATTGCCAATTTTGGCTCATTTATAGTCACCTTACGACGCACTAAAAATGACTCCAATGATTAGTAAACTTACAACAGTTATACTTTAGAGGTAGCATGCAAAAACATATATACACATGAATGTACAATATGTAAAACATAAATGTATGAAGCTAAGTAGAAAAGAAGATCTAGGGATACCATGCATTCATTAGAGTCATGTCTAAAATCTGGCAAAACATAAAAAACATGTGATTCTTGTCAAAACACAGGTTTATATATATATACATGCCATACATGTGCTACGCATCACCTCTCCCAGTTTCTATATGTGCAGACTGAATCCCATGGTTTGGCTCATTTTTCTCTTTTTAAACATTTTAATTGTGCCGAATTGGCATTCCTCACTTTCAGTATTTATGAAAAACATGGGAGTGACACATATATGTACATGATGAAGTGACACATACATGATATTTGCTACACTAATCAGTAATCAACACAGAATGTGTGTTAGCCAAATTAACATAAATGCAGTACATGTACATGCAAGATGGGAACATATATTTCTTACATGTTTATAATTTGTTTATACGTGTACAAAAAGCTATTTAACAAACAACATGCATAATCATGCAAACATAGCTTTGTCGTAAACAACTTCCTATTTTTGCGGGAATAAAAACTGATTATACAAACAGGAGATACGCAAATGGTGTACTCAATTTCAATGTTCACGACAAAGCTATGTTCACAATCCTTGATTGATCTAATTCTTGAAACGCACAACAATTAATGAGAGAGATAAAGATGTGTATTACTGCTATGACAAAGGTTATCCAGACAAATTGAACATTTGTTTTTATTAATACAATCATATCATTTTAAGGCACATACAAGTGACTGACAAGAGGAATTGGAAAATAACCAATGTGAATGTAATGTTTTGATAAACGATGAAACTGAAACTAAATGTAGGATATGTTTTGAATGTTCCAAAAGCAGACAGAATAAGACGGATACAGATTGCAAATGGGGAAAGATTTCACATAAAATGTTTTACTAGCATGCCAATGGACTTGTTTTTCAGAAATATATGCATGCTCTTATTTTAAAATGCTAAAGTGCTTGGGAATGGAAAGTTGAAATGAATTCAAATAGGCTCTAAATGCTGGATAACTGGTTGCTATGGCAATAACTCACACGAGTAGCGTTTCCATGGTTCACCCCTCCTACCATTATCAGTTTCATCATCTTCCTCTTCATCTTCATCGTCGTCATCATATTCAAATGGACCTTGTTCAAGTTGGGCAGATGCTGACTGCAAACATATAGAATTCAAAGAGTGAAATGACTAAATATCTCCATGATTCTGTTCTTGCGTAGAACATCAAGTATGATCAAGTGTGCGATTGCAAAATCTCACCATATAAGCTAAAAAAAATTTGATATGTGTATGATATCTATCCAAAATATCTTTTTTCTCTCTTATTATGAGGCCTTAGGCTTTTGGGTGTCATGGAAAAATAATGAAATATTTCTACATTTTGTGTATTGTTAGGGTAACCTCAATTTGAATACTACATGTAGTACTTGATTTTGATTGGTCAATAATTGTTTGTATAGTTACCCTTTGTTTTAGCTGTCTAGGCTGGTGCATTCTCAGTTTTTTGTTCTTAATGAGTATCTTGTACTTCAGCTGATTGGGGGAGGGTAGCACAGGGTCATCCACAAAATCTGTCTCAAATAGGAATTTTGTCACCAGTTTCTCTCCAAACACATTCTGAAGCATAGACATGCTCTCTTTAAGAAATAATCACAATATCATTATATCATCAGCCTGACACATGTATAGTATTTACATAGGGTGGGCCTATATGTTTGCCGCTTTTCAGCCCTAGTCAGATAGTCTGAAGATAGCCTTAACATATACCTAACAAAAGATGACATAAGCAACATCAAAATGGTTCATCATACATTTTCAAACATTGGATATTGATGATTCTGTACCATGTTTTGAGCCATAATCTGTTTTAATGGATAACTAAAATGTTTAATAATTTACTTACAATGAATGTCTAGGCCATTTACTTACAATGAATGTCTGGGCCATTTACTTACAATGAATGTCTGGGCCATTTTCTGCTGTTGTGGGATAGACAGGTGGTTCTCTATGGATATGATGACAGGGTAGGGGCTTGTCACAAATGCGCTTTTATTGATTGCTTCAACCACTTCCTGAGGAAACATACAAATATTCTAAAGATTTTTGAAAAGTTTTATAGAGTTCGTTTATTTTGTTAGAATTCAAAAGATATGCCTCAATGACTTACATGTATGTAACAAAGATATGACCTTAGATTTTGTTCTGCCCATTGCACTATGAGTGGGCTATTTCATAAATGATTAGAAAAACGTCATACTATGCATCATGAATCACTGAATCATGGTCTTTATCCCTTAATTTACCTTGAATGAGATCTTAGTGGTAAGTGTATGTCCATGGTATATGATGGGATATCCATCTTCCCCATCCCAGCAGTCAAGCTCTACACACCTACAGCCAGTCAGTAAAATCTGAAACATATAAGCATTTAATAAACACGCTGCAATCAACCATCCATGCAATGTTCATCTGAGATATGGAAAAATGTACAAATATAGTAAAACCATTATATTGGAACTAGTCACAATTTTGTTATCTCCCATCGACTCACACATTGAGAAAATCTTGAAAAGTGAACACCTGTTTGGCCGATCCCGAACCAAAGGATGAATAAATTAGAGGAAAAAGAGTATAATAAATGATATATTTGGCTAACTGATGCTTTTAACAGCTAGGGTTACTTGCTGTCATGTACATCCGACTAAGTACGTAGATCTACCTTAAAGGTTGATAATAATAGCAATTACATTGCCAACTACGCTGTGATCAACTAATAAAGAAATCAAATAATAAAGCAACCAACCTGACTGTATATTTCAACTGAAGACTCTCCCTTCAGTTGATGACCAGTGAGGTATGTGTTATGAGATGATGCTATATAGTAGTGGGAAAGTGGGTGGTCCATGTCCTGAAACAATAACATTAGTTAGTTATAATGTCATCAACAAGTTTCTTTTTCAATGCACATGAAAAAGAGGAAGCCTTATAAACAGTAATAAGTCAATTCTAATGAACATAGAGCTATATCACTGGGGATGAACTGGAAACGAGGGAGGTTTTGCCTCGTATCAAAATGGCGGCGCGTGAAAAAATTTCATTCTGTAAGATTTTTGTTTTTTACAATTTTCGTGCTTTTATCCTTCAAATTAAAACTTAATATTTGGCAAGTAAATAGTCTATAAGTTCCGGTTTTATAATATGATTGCAAATCAGAAATCAATACAGACATTGCTGAGATATTTACATTTCAATTCTCTCACTTAGGAAACGAGGCACCTGTCTACATTTTGTAACAATGAAACGAGGCAATGTTTGACTTGCAACGAGGCAACTATTCTTTCTGTGATAGTGTATACATTTAATGATCTTATTTCCACCGTTCTGGTCACATGGCGACCGATTACGTTTTACACGATATACATGATTATATATGTAAGAGCAAAGAAAAGTCTAACTGTACCAATTTAGTTAAGCTACATGTTGTTAAAGGGTGACGCATATCGTTTAGCAAATCGAACGCTCGTTTCTGGTGTTGCTCACCGTTTAGTATAAAAGGCCCGATCCCGGAATAATACTCAAGGGTTCACAGGTTAGAGGTCGTTGTGTCAACACCTCTGACTGTTACATAGCATAAGTATATTATAGATCGTCACACATTTATAAAAGGGTGATTTTTATTTTGACAAATCAATTCCACATTTATGGATGAAGTTTCAGGATCTTCTATTTGTGTATAATAAGGAAAAATTGGCATCTAAATTTCCCCATAACGTAATAGCACACAGCTTGGCATATGAAATATCCTACAAATGAAACAAAGCAAGACAAACCGGTTTCTAATACAAGGATTTATATTGGCTGTTGTACATGTATTCTTTGAACGCAATCACTCTTTGGATAACGTTTTCAAAATCATTATAAACGGATTACTTTATCTGAAAGACAATTTCAATAAACTGGATTTTACAGAACTCCCCTTATTTCTTAAAAATGGACTGATCCAGTTGATTCGCCTGGAGCCGCCATATTGTTTTTATACGGGATGCTAATCGGAACCCTTTAAGGTTCATCTTTAAGTACAGAAAATGCCAATGCACTTCACTCGATTCATTCTTTGCTGCAGCTTAAAATTTATGCTAAGGAGTTATACTGTTTTATTTTTAAATATTTCGAAAACGTTAAATAGCATTGCTTTGAGTGTCAATTCCAATAAACGAGCCAGCTATCCGAGCTATCAATGGTAGCGCATATATCGTCAAAATGTTCTCTAAAATAAGAAAAATCTCGTTCAAAGAAGTGCTATTTCAATAGGGAGCTTAAGCTACACGTATTTTAGAAATGGCGAACGTAAACGTGAAATGACCCCTGGGAACTATAGTTCCGTTCTGGATTGACTTATACAAAGACCCAATTAAAACAGTTTAACTGATACCTTTGTAATCATTCATGCAAATAAAGACGTTGAAGACAAGAACAAGTTCTCTGAAGATTGCAATTTTACACGTTTACGTACACTTCTCTTTAAAACATGTGTCGTTAAACCTCCCTACTAATCGTACGCAAATGGGGCATTGTTGTTGCTCGAGATGGCTATATTTGATAGAATATAATTCCAGATACGATAAAAAACGAATGACCATGGTAATAATTAAATGACTCGCCTATATTACAAAAATAGCAGAGTCAAGGAGCACACTGGCATTGTCTCATTGGTGTACATTGGATTTTACTGTTTGTATTCTTTAATGTCTGTATGTTCCTTATTATGTCACTATCAATTATGTTATTCTGCATATAGTCCAACGAAATGTGGAAATGTTCGGCGTCTGACGTCTGGAGTTCGGCGTCTGGCGTTTTGCGTCAATAGCAAATTCTTTAGCAATTTTAGCAACTTTCAAAAACTGAACAAATGCGTACCGCTTAGACTGACATCATATTTTACTGTGAACAATTATAAACTTATTATGACTTTCAAGTATTTCTTAGAACATATGTTACAATGGTAGCAAATAAATGGACTTATTTGTTATTACTAAGTTACAACACGTGTCATATGTTAATGCCTTGTATTTTCTTAAATGCTAGAAATGGTAATGCATTTGTAAATGAAATATTCATAAATTTTCTAGATTATTAGCCATATGAAAAATGTTAATGGTCGATGGCATAAATATTATGATGTCGCTATCGTGAATTAAAATAAATGATGTTTCAAGGTAGAATAAAAGCAAGCTTTGTTCACAACTGTCTATATCTGCTTCCCTATTCAACATAACATTTTTGCTTTTTAGGAAGCTTCAACATATTGCCAATGGAGGGGTCTGTTGCATCATATGGAATACAATATCAGCAACGTTGTCGTTTCCTGTGTTACAGAAATAGCATTTGAACAGGGACGCTTCTTTTTGTAGGCCCCGTTCTGTAATAAAAACGAAACATTTTTAATTAAATATGGTTGCCTCGTTTCATTCTTAAGAATGCTATATAGCTGCCTCGTTTCCTTGAGAAACATGCCTCGTTTCCTAAGTGAGAGAATTGATATGTAAATATCTCAGCAATGCCAGTATTGATTTCTAATTTGTAATCATATTATAAAACCGGAACTTATGAACTATTTACTTGCCAAATATTAAGTTTTAATTTGAAGGATAAAAGCACGAAAATTGTAAAAAACAAAAATCTTACCGAATGAAATTTTTTCACGCGCCGCCATTTTGATACGAGGCAAAACCTCCCTCGTTTCCAGTTCATCCCCAGTGTATATGGTAATAGTTTATTTACCATGGAGGTACACAAATCTGCCATTTTAAATCCTAGCTTTGATAATGACTCCAAAATGAAGATCAGTTTTCTCGTAAGAGTGTTTTCAGTTTTTTATCATCTTCAATTCAAAAATTCAATTCTGCCCATTATCAATTGCCATTGCTAATCGAAGTCTTTACTTCTTAAAATAGAAATGGACACAGTACAAAAACATATTACATGTCTTTCTTACCTCTGATGTTTGTGTGACATGTTCATTAATGAAGGCATAGTTGTTCTTGTCCATGACATAGCAGGCAAACCCCTCAAATGATAAGCTGCAAGAAGTAAAAGACAAATAGGTCACATGTTCATTAATGAAGGCATAGTTGTTCTTGTCCATGACATAGCAGGCAAACCCCTCAAATGATAAGCTGCAAGAAGTAAAAGACAAATAGGTCACATGTTCAATTATGAAGGCATAGTTGTTCTTGTCCATGACATAGCAGGCAAACCCCTCAAATGATAAGCTGCAAGAAGTAAAAGACAAATAGGTCACATGTTCAATAATGAAGGCATAGTTGTTCTTGTCCATGACATAGCAGGCAAACCCCTCAAATGATAAGCTGCAAGAAGTAAAAGACAAATAGGTCACATGTTCATTAATGAAGGCATAGTTGTTCTTGTCCATGACATAGCAGGCAAACCCCTCAAATGATAAGCTGCAAGAAGTAAAAGACAAATAGGTCACATGTTCAATAATGAAGGCATAGTTCTTCTTGTCCATAACATAGCAGGCAAACCCCTCAAATGATAAGCTGCAAGAAGTAAAAGACAAAATAGGTCACATGTTCAATAATGAAGGCATAGTTGTTCTTGTCCATGACATAGCAGGCAAACCCCACAAATGATAAGCTGAACAAATCAAATGACATGTACTTCATTATTCTTGTTCAAGTGTTCAGAAATTGTTTAAATGAAAACAAGGAATGTTGATTGTTTGAAAACCTATATATTCTAATAAAGTACATTATAGGTTCTAAATAATTGCATTATTACAGCATTATAAATCAACTAAACAGTATCTAGTATAAAACAATTATTCATATTGACTTTCCAATTGATTTCCTTTCATATCTGGTGAATATACGTCTGCTATCAGACCTAAGTATTGAGTATTCATTTTGGAGGGAAATGTTTTTACTATAAATTGGCATTCAATAATACTCAGCAATCTATCCCTTTCAAAGAACACAATAAGGAACTTATACACACAATGATAATAGAAGTTGATTAGATGTGAGAGATGCAGACCCGTAGCCAGGGGGGGGGTTGGATGGGTTCTCCCCTCGAACCCCCCCCTGGCCAAAAATTCTTTCAAAATCATGCAGTTTTTCATCATTCTGAGCACATTTTAAGTGATTTTGGCCATTTTTGAACCAAAATTGTCAAAAGTGAACCCCCCTGGAAATTTTCAAAAAGTGAACCTCCCTTGGCAAATCCTAGCTACAGGCCTGAGATGCCTACCTATATTGACGGCGTAGTTCAGGATCAGGTTCAAATCTCTGTATGATGTGAATGATGTCTTCATCAGAGACCATGTCCTCCTGATAGTCTTCAAGGAACTCTCGTATCTCCATTAGGCCCAGACACCTACTATTAGACGACTGAATGCCAGAACCATTAGATACAATACTGGAAACGGCTAGGGCATCTGTCATCTTTCTACGTGAACTTTCAGCAGCCTCCTCATCCAAGGGACTATTTCTTGTGATGAGACCTAAACACAACATATTGACATGTCTATAGGTACTTCATAGAGGATATCTTATGATGTAAGAGTGATGTGATTTTTATCCACGAATGGATATATCTGCACTAGCGAGCATATCCATGAGTGGATTAAAATCATATCACGAGTAAATCATAGGATGTTTTTTTTATTCCATAGTTAAAGTCATCATCAGAATCGTTGGAAATTAAGTGATTGAATTCGAATTTTCCAAACGATCCGGAGATGTTGACACTTAGGCTCGTTTTGAGTCTGAAGTAGCACAAATCCATAATTCATAGCATACGGCGCCGTATGTCATGGCTTAAACACCGTATGCTATGGTTAAGTGAAAAGTCAAAAATATCATATTTTACCACTGATTACAAAAATACCATTTTTATTTTGACATGTTATCCTATGAATATCATGCTGACTATGGAATAAATTAGGATACAAAGCATTAACATAACAAAATGTCACCACCTGGCATTTGATACAGACGCCAACCACCAAATGCTTAACACCAACCACTGAATGCTGACCATCGTCCACAAAAATTTATAGACTATAAAAATATGTCACACCTTCTTGTGGTGACATAAAAACAGATATAACATAACTAAACAACATTCACAAATATATCAAGGTAATCAGCAAAAAAAACTATACTTGGACAAAGAGACTTAAGAAGTTTATTTCTTTTGCTCTAAAAATTTAATTTTGCTTGAATGTTACTCAAACTGTCAGATTACATGTATGTATTCACATCCAGAAATTTACATTTATTTCTCACAACAGTGACTATGATTTGTTGATACTGTAACCAAATAGTGCTCAGGGGCTGATGGGATAGTACATACCTGCTTCTTTAGCACACCACATGTGTTCATGGGCTGATGGGATAGTACATACCTGCTTCTTTAGCACACCACAATTGCTCAGGGGCTGATGGGATAGTACATACCTGCTTCTTTAGCACACCACATGTGCTCAGGGGCTGATGGGATAGTACATACCTGCTTCTTTAGCACACCACATGTGCTCAGGGGCTGATGGGATAGTACATACCTGCTTCTTTTGCACACCACATGTGCTCAGGGGCTGATGGGATAGAACATACCTGCTTCTTTTGCACACCACATGTGCTCAGGGGCTGATGGGATAGTACATACCTGCTTCTTTAGCACACCACATGTGCTCAGGGGCTGATGGGATAGTACATACCTGCTTCTTTAGCACACCACATGTGCTCAGGGGCTGATGGGATAGTACATACCTGCTTCTTTAGCACACCACGTGTGCTCAGGGGCTGATGGGATAGTACATACCTGCTTCTTTAGCACACCACGTTTGCTCAGGGACTGATGGGATAGTACATACCTGCTTCTTTAGCACACCACATGTGCTCAGGGGCTGATGGGATAGTACATACCTGCTTCTTTAGCACACCACATGTGCTCAGGGGCTGATGGGATAGTACATACCTGCTTCTTTAGCACACCACGTGTGCTCAGGGGCTGATGGGATAGTACATACCTGCTTCTTTAGCACACCACGTTTGCTCAGGGACTGATGGGATAGTACATACCTGCTTCTTTAGCACACCACATGTGCTCAGGGGCTGATGGGAATGCAATTTCAACACGAGGTTCCTCAACTGCAAACTGCTCGAACAAATCCTTCAAATCCTTCCGACATCTTATTGAGAATGATTTAAACAAATCCATAAAATCTAGAAAGTCTAGGCAGGTGGAATGTGTAAGCAAGGACTTGCCATCCATAGTGCGACTCCCTAAGGAGAACTTCTGTCTTGCCCTGTAGGCAACCGTCAGGTTTTGAGAAAACCCACGAGGTCGGAATGTATTTGACTGACTTTGACCTTTATAAAGTGAGGTCACATTAAAGTCATTGTTATTATTCAGTATAGAGCTATCAGACTTAGATTTTGTGACTGGACTATCTGGAGCCTTCCCACTCTGTTTAACACTAGAATCTGATCTCGATTGACTGCTCTCCAAGCCAAGGCTATCAAGACTGTTGTTGGACGACTTAGGACTGAAATCCTGTAAATAATGAAACTTATAGATTGTTTAAAATTGTAGCAAGATTTCATAAGATTAACAATATATACTGTGAATTAACTGTGTCTTCATTATTCTTGGATAAAAGATTTTAGACAAAAGAGTTAAGACAAACAATTTTAGTTTGTTAAATATAATATGTGAGTACAATGTAGTATAGGGTCAATAACTCTCAACTCTGGCTTTAAAAGATCACAGTTCAAACCAGAACAACGGCAACGCCAAAGAGTAGCGAATCCCATCGAACAGAAATGGCTGGCATTTTTACAAACGAAGTGCAAATATCATAAAACAACACACCAGAAAGGCCACCATTTTCAAAACGGTTGCTCACTAGCCAAGTTGTCATCAGAAGAAATAATATGCTTTTAAGTAGCCACCTCTAAAATTTTTGAAAAATCGCACACGTACTTGTAAAATAACACACATAAAAATGGTGGCCATTTTTCAAAATGGCCAACTACTCCCCAAAGTTTTATTAGACAATGTGCCATGCTTAAAGTATTCACATATCAAATATGAACAAAATCGCTCAACTTCTTTTCGAGTTATAGTAAAATACGTTAAAATAGCGGCCATTTTTGAAAATGGCCACCTTCTACCAAAAGCGTCATTAGAAATAGACGGTGTGCCATGCTTATGGTATTCACATACCAAATATGAACAAAATCGCTCCACTACTTTTCGAGTTATAGTAAAATACTTTAAATGGCGGCCATTTTTCAAAATTGTTTTCAAAATGGCCGCCTTCTACCAAAAGTGTCATAGGACAGTGTGCCATGCTTATAGTATTCACATACCAAATATGAACAAAATCGCTCCACTACTTTTCGAGTTATAGTAAAATACGTTAAAATGGCGGACATTTTTCAAAATGGCCGCCTTCTACCAAAAGTGTCTTTAGACAGTGTGCAATGCTTATAGTATTCACACACCAAATATGAACAAAATCGCTCCACTATTTTTTGAGTTACAGCAAAAATCGTAAAATGACGAGTAAAGGCCGCCATTTCTCAAGATGGCTGCCATGTGCTTTTTTAATATCTACATTTGTAGCATTATTAGTGTCCTTTATAATTTTTTTACATTTAAAACATATTGCTATTACAGTTTTGCATATTGCACCTAAATTACTGTAAAATCGTCACTAAAATGGCCGCCATTTTGAAATAAGCGACCATTTTGAAAATCGGCTTTCGAGCAGAACTTCTATCCCCATAGGGTATATGTGTACAAAATATGAACAAAATCGGGCCAGTTATTGCCCGGACGGATGGACGGACGTACGTACGGACAGACGGACGGAGGTGTTCCCTATATCCCTCCGAACTTCGTTCGATGGGATAATAACTTATGGTGGATCTGGTTAAATGTTATACAACAAAGATGAGGTGTTAAATTGTTATTTTGTAGTGACCTGTACCATACCTGGCACACTAGTACAGAGATCTGATGGTCTGAGTAGACCCAAGGGGCAAATGATCCAAATTCCAATCAGACCTACAGGTCTGATTGATTCTGTCACTACTTAATATTCCCAAAGTTTTCAGTTAAGAAAATGAACCAATTGTAATAGTTTGAGTTATTCTGTGGATGTAGTTTACCTTGATTGTGCTAAGAGTGGTACCCTTTTTCTTGAGTATTTTACCATGAACCCCAAAACTGGGAGTTCGTTTGAGACCCTCACTAGGTGGAATCCCTGACTGCATATTGCTGACCCACTTTCTCCCTCCGAATATCTGAAAAAGATAGCAAAATAAAAATTGATCATGTATCTCGCTACTGACTGAATATGAATATTGCCTATTCAAAGAAAAAAAATACAGTAAAACTTGTCTAAGTAAAACACCTTTGGTACCTATAAAAGGTGTTCCACTCTGAAGTGTTCCTCTGACAGAGGTGTTTCTCTTCTGTGGTGTTCCACATTACAGGTTTCACTCTATTTAGAAATTATACAATGACTTCTTACTAGTACTTTGTTGGATTTCTAAATGTTTGCTCGGTAACTTTTTTCAGATTAGCTCCCATTAGCAATTAGATTTGAACCTAGCTGTGTTTAAAAATGCTTTACCTTAAAAATGCTTTACCTTAAAATATGCTTTACCTTAATAGCTTCAGCTGGTGTAGGTCCTTGGCATTTAACATCCTCATAGAATAACTGTAGATATTGCTCCTTTAACCATAGCAACCGTCTATCTGTGTGTCTCTTCTGGAGTTGAGACACCTTCACTAGTGACCTGAGACCCTTGTACCATAAATTGGCCAACCTATCAGGCAGGGCAAAATGTAGCGAGCGATTATCTGATACATTGCTTCCATAGAGGATTGAGATACAATTACGCTCATGTGACACATCCTCTAAATTATAACGTTTTGTTATTGTAGCTAAGTCTATCACAGTTTGTCCAAGTCGAATCTCTTTGATTATAGATATATCCACAAACCCCTCCTCTAGATTATCCGTCACTTGCTCACCAAAGGCATACTTCATGCTCAAGCCAGGTGATATTGGCCAATCAAAATTATCTTTGAGGGCGTAATCTGGCTGAGTGCCTGATCTTAATGGACTCCAGAAAGGTTTACACCATGTTAATGTTCCATTGTCATTTTCTAGTTTTAAATAAGAGCGTGAAGATCTTGAGCCCTCCTCTAACCAGTGAATGGCAGTGACGCCATGGTGCATACACTGCAGCTTATGGAGGTTTATACTACACGTCAGGCCTGTAGGAATCAACATTACTCCATGTTGATTATGGATGGATTTGATTGGCTGATAATTGTCTATATCTAGGTCATAGTCTGATTCATAATCCTCGTCCTCCGAGTCGTCCTCTGAATCATCTGATACCCTGGAACACAAGAGAGTAACAAATCAGCTTGCTTAAATGAGACAGGAATTTTCAGTGACAGGAATCTGAAAATTGAATTTGCTTAAAAAATCATGAAATAAATAATGAAGGACTTTTGGTAACAAAATCACTTGTCATAAGAATTACTGTATATTAACAATACCCTAAATTGAGGAATTAACATACATTGTATAAATATATCTCAAAACATACATAAATAGGCTCATAGCAAGCTTTTGCCAAGGGGGTTAACCTTTTTAAAAATTCCATGGGGAGGGGGTTCATATTTGACAATTTTGGCCCAAAAATGGCCAAAATCACTAGAAAAATGTTCAGAATGGTTCACTCGGACACCTGAAGACATGAGGTTATGGGCCTGCAGTAATGATAAGCCTAAACATACATACAGGTTTCATATAAGTTAGCCTCTTTGTATTACCTGGTTTCCTGAGTCTCATCAATTTCCTCTACAATGAGGTTGGCCTTGGACTGGCTCTGGAATGTCTGTTGATGTGCGTGGTCATGGAATAACTGAATGTCATTCAACACCAAATGGGCCTGTTGGATTTTATCAAAGTTTATAAGACCACCAACTCCTATGCGAGTCATGAATCTGTCTTCTCCATTGTAGTCAGAGACACTCTGAAATTATCAAAACATGTTTTGTATTACTTATCAATGTTACTTATTCAATTTGTAATGATAATACAAAAGGTTTGCCAATTGCCAATAAAGGCATTACAGGTGGAGTTATTAAATCCCACAGGTTATCAAATTCCAAATATGAACTCTATTTCAGCTCATATAATGTTACATACAGTTGGGCTTAAACATTCTAATTTAATCATGATTTTTCCCAAAACAACCTGATGATGTTAGCAAGTCTCAGAAATTGCATGATTACACCTTAGAATGGGTACTATTGATTCAGGTCCTATAAAGGGTTGGTGTCCAAATATTAACAGTTGTGGAAAAACAAAGTCAATTCACTTATAATTGAATATCCCTGTATATTAAAATCTGAAAATGTTGATTTGCCATTCACCTGATTACATTTTTACACTGTACATATATGTATATGTGGTTTTGCATTTCAATACAGTGAACAGTGAGAATAGTGAATAAAACATACAACAGTACCTCTACATTTAAACTATCCTCTGTTGGTAACACAACAATTGAAGGCAAACTTGTCAATACTGCACGTAAGTCCCGTAAAAATCCCCCAAAGAATGGCACCACTTTACAAGCTGGTATGTCTAGTCCTCGAGCTACTGCGTCCCTATACTCCGGTGAAAGCTCTCTAGTAAGCATGGCATCTGTTAAACTCTCTAAGGTGAGCAATGCTGTGTTTTTGATAGACAACCAAAATGGTTTCAATTTTTCTGACCTATATAAAACAAAAAGAAACAGATTTCATGAAAGCCTTGGGAGGATACTGGGATCATTTTTGAAGACATTACAATTTACGATATGGTCTCAAGTCATTGTTCATCATAAGATAGACAATGGAACCATAAGAACCATAAGTTACAATAGTACCAAAATAGGACCCCTGGTTAATCATCATCATCATCGGTTTTAGGAGTATAAGGCTGGGTGCCTGTGTGTTCCTCCCTTCCAAATATAGATCAATTAATTGTGATAGTTTGGTATTTTTTGATATTGTGGATTAATAAACAAATCATGATGTTTCGTTATGTACAATTCTCTTCAATCTTACAATGAATGAGACATTAGTATTTTATGATTGTATGTTTTTATTTATCATATGTCACAATGTGCAAATAAATGATGATGGATGAAATTTAAGCAATTCAAATATTCCATCGAATGAACAGTTCATTAACATGATTCATAACAATGACAAAATTCATGACAAAATACCCTTAAAGTTTCCATAAGACTGAAGTCGAAGTCTTACCCAATCTAATTTGTTTATTTTATCTATTTTATTTAACAACTAAACATAACATATATTGATTGATATGATTATTATATTATTCAGCAACTTACTTGAGTCCTGCTAAGATCTCCGCTGTGGCATTGAAATTGCCAAGGTTCCAGCAAGAATTAGCCAATCGTAAAACACAAGAGACAACTGCTTTCCTATCCTCGTGTGTAGGTTGGGTGATGATTAGGTGGGTCACCCAGGAGCTCACCTACAAAACGAAGATCCTTAAATGAAGATTCTTCATTTTTCATGTTAGTCTCAGGACATCAGCCTGTTAAACTTAACTGTTCACATAATAAAAAGGAGTATGAATTCAAAGATATTTCACCAAGAACTCCCACAAACAAACAAACAAACACACAAATAAATAAACAAAGAAAACATCTGGGATCTCTTAAAGACACACAGAGCATATCATATACATGTGCAGTGCTCATCAGGGACTCCTGGTTTGTGTGACCAGACACTAATATTAATTTGGTCTTTACAGAACATCATCTAAAAATTATAGCGATCAATCTATTTCAAGTACTTTGGTAACAATAAAATAAATGGTTCTTGTGGGAAACGTATAATAACTGGGAATCAATTTATCTTAGTGATTTATATCAAACTTACAGCATTAAATCTCTGAACCAGATCCTGTACAGTCCTTGACTTATTACTCAGACATGTTTTTGACAGCTCCATGGTCACTTGGCGTATGTAATACGCAGGGGGAATTTTATAAAATAACTGGTACTCCTTCTCAGTGATTAATAGGGCTACTTCCTCGGGGAAGTGGAGAAGTTTCTGGTAACTATCAAGCTCCTTCGTATACTGGGTACAGGAGTCTACCTCAGGTCCCATAGTTAAAGCTCTTTGACTGAAGTCAGCTGAAAGAGAATATTTGATAAATTGTACACTTATAATTATACGAGGGGTGATCAATAAATTTTGCAAGTGACCCTCTATCATTGAAAATATTTGGAATCAGGTGATGAACCAAACTGACAGAAATAGAGTGTATGTACAGTACATGTACAGTCCATAGACTACAAATATTTCAAAAGTCAAAAGCTTATGTTTAACCTGTGCTTAAAATATAGTTACAATTTATTGAACACTCCTTTGCATTCATTTACATTTTTAAGGTAGGCCTAGAATTGTAATCTTAGGGACTGTTCCTGACAGATTTGTGCATCTTTGGTTGATGTTAAACAATTACTAGTATTTATTCTTCTTCACCCACCTTAATGAGAATGAAACGTATGTACATGTACCTTACCCTAATTGATTTAATACTTTTTGAGAGGATTTGTATGGTTTGCCCAAAATAACATGCAGTTATAATATAAAATAGTGAATGTAAAATCATGTTTGTTTGATATGATCAATTACCAAAATCTAAGCCACTTTGAGTCATGCTGTCCATAATCCGTCCACTCAGGTCCATTGCCTCCCAGAGTGACGTCGTCACATTTTTCAGACTCTCCTGCGACGATGTGATCAACGTCCATGGTTTTGTGCCTCTAAATTCGAACTTTAACCCATCGTGAATCTTCCCTCCAACTGTGCTCCAGTCATAGAGGTTTGTAATGATCTCCGAGCGAGTTAAAGATTTGGTTTTATTGTCTAAGAGAATCATTTTCTCAGTGCTGATGCCTAGAATTCTGGCAATCTGGAAGTATGAAAACAAGAATTCTGAATTTACAGTGGGTGATCCAGATAAACTAATAACAAGGCATTAACAAGCAAAATGTCACCACCTGCCATTTGTTACAGACAACATCCACCAACTGCCGAATGCAGAACACTGTACACACAAAAGTTGCTTTCATTTCTTCGTTTGTGGGAGTTAGATACTGTATGGTGTATTTCTTTTAATTATATTTTGGTATTTTTGACAAATGTTGGATATTTGACGAATATATTGATGATCCAGATATGAGCTTTCTTTATGCCACAAATGGCCCATTCATTCTGATCAGTTAGAATACACACTTCAATAATAATGCTTCCTGATTATTGGTAAGAATCCCTTAAAGAATGAGGAACACCCACTGAGATGCTTTGTTGAAGATATTACAGTTTATTCCATAGTTAGCATGATATTCATAGGATAACATGTGAAAATAAAAACGGTATTTTTGTAATCAGTGGTAAAATATGATATTTTTGACAAATTTTCACTTAACCATAACATACGGTTTTTTAGCCATGTCATACGACGTCGTATGCGATGGTTTATGGATTTTTGCTACTTCAGACTCAAAACGAGGCTAAGGGTCAACATCGCCGGATCGTTTGGAAATTCGAATTAAATAACTTAATTTCCGACGATTCTGATGATGACTTTAACTATGGAATAAAAAGAACATCCTATGATTTACTCGTGATATGATTTTTACCCACTCATGGATATTGATATCTGCACTCTCTCGCTACGCTCGCTCGTGCAGATATCATATCCATTCGTGGATAAAAATCATATCACTCATAAATCATAGGATATCCTCTATAAATCTAATTCAAATACCACCGGGACCCTCAGATTAGCAAGTGTTCACAATTCAAGGAATTTTAAAATATGAATCAATGGGAAATAACAAATGGACCAAGAAAATGTGTTCACATTAAGGGGTGTTCTGATTAGAGAGGTGTTCAGATATGCAGGCTTCACTGTATAAAGGAAGATTATTAGATCTCTTGATAACCTTTTCAGAAACAGACTTTCTGAAAATTCTGATTATCATTTCAGAGAATAAATATGTCAAAAACATGACTTAATTAAAGTAATCTGTATCATACATTTTTATATATCTTACCAATGTTAAGATTAATTAGAATGCTATCTGGCAATAAGTTTGAAAAAGTGGACATTTCACTTTTAAATTCTATTGAATTTTGGAAATTCACATCTTTTGAATACCAAAAGTTATGTTCACTATAAAAATTCTTGAGCTATCATCAGTAGTCAGTACACATACACAGTGTTCATGTAAAATATACTTGTATAGCTATTCTCATATTATAAAGTGGATGTCGTTTTCATATTGAACAAAGAAATGTTATGTTCAACTTACTTAAAAACCATTGTCAAAGATAACTAAGCAATGCTATTATTCTTGTTTGAACGAGACTACAAACTTGGACATATACAAACAATAAAATGTATGGTTACCATGTAGACATGTTTAATGTGCCACTTTCAGGTATAAAACATCAAGGATGGGAGATAAAAACACAGATTTTAAAAACACACACTTTTTGTTGATATTTGACCATCCTTCATACTCCTCCTCCTTCATCCTTCATACAAAATATGCTTTAAAAATATATGAGGATTGATGTTGCATACTTTAGATCTTCAAAGAAACCATGAGATACTAAGAGTACAGATATCAACAAATATAAAAGTGAGTGACTCAAATACAATGTATGTGTTTTTATCTCCCATCCTTGATGTTTTATACCTGAAAGTGGCACATTAAACATTTCTACATGGTAACCATACATTTCATAGTCTGATATAAGAATGCTTGACAGAAAATGGGCATGGTAGTGATTATAAGGTTTAAAATCATATGTTAAAGGTCATCTGTGGTATATTTTTCTTCAAAATTCATTTTTGTGGAAAAGGACTATTTTGATTTTTTACAATGTTTTCTCAATTTCTCAATGTTCTTTTCAAAGCAAAAGTCAATATTGGTATTCAAGAAACCATTATCTTTCTAATGGTATGTTCAAACCTTAAGACAAATTGTTTTATTCTTTTACTGCCTGGCTGCTCAACTAATATACAATAAAAGTACACAGGGTGTAAACTTTAAACTAGTAAAAGTTAAATACAATGTAAAACATAAAATTGTTCTCATTTCTTTTAATAAGCAAAATTGCAAAAAACTATGAAAGCATTGACTGAAAAAGATCTAGAAAAGAACATATAGATGTAAATCAAGAACACACATGTGGATTTACTTTTGACTCTACGATTTATATTGTTTACTGTAGAATTCTATCAAGTTTCATTCAAGGTCAGGTTTACAGGTACGTACTTAGTACGCTGCCTTTTTGACCTACTTTAGTATTTGTATACATGTAGTTAAATTAAACAATCTATTCTTTGATTTGTGTTTTTCTATTACGCCCTTTGTGCTTTTCGACATTTCAAGATTGTGAATCTAGATGTACATGTATTACTTCTAAATACGCAAATAAAAACTTCAGTTGATAACACTGATACTTGAGCCTAAGATTTGATGACAATTAAAATGAGATATCATATCTATATATTGACTTTACAATTACAAGTGATGCTATTGTATTCAACTGTCAACACTCAGTAGATGTAATTGTATTCCTTTAATAAACAAACTTCACAACTGTAAAAGGTCAAGAATGTCCAGGTGATAAGATCATAGGTTTCGTATAGGATCATGTTTATCAAAATATGAAATGTTCGGATCAAATTAAATGATGTTTAGATTAAATGTACTATATTATGTGTTTTGTTTTTCCACATGCCATAATATTGCGTTGATGTTTTAATTTTATCAATGTAAACCATTTCTAAACGGATTTTCTGTTAAGTAATACATCAATCCACATAAAGCATTTCAAAGAGTAGTTCCACATTTAAAACAGGTATGAAACTGTGTAAGTAAATAAATGAGAACTTACCTTTTTATGAGTATTTCCTCTGATGATTTCTTTAACCTGGTACAGTTTACAGCCATAAGTGGGCAAGTTCTTGCAGATTTTGATATAGAGCTGCTTCAGTTTTAACTCACTGTCATAATACAGGGTGTGCCACAATTTCTTCTGCTTTTCCTGGAATCGACAACGAATAGATTGCACATCTTCATAAGTATACACTTTGCCTGTATATGAGGTATAAAAGAACACATGAGCATCCCATAGAATATCCTCCACTGATTTACTCTGGGGGGTATCACCAACAGGATCATCGTCAGCACCGTCATCCCAAATCTGTTCTAAAAGACTCAAATCTATAACATCATCATATGGGTCAACTTCATATATGGGATCATAGAAGTAGAAGATTCTTGAGCTGTCATTATCAGCCTCGGTGATATCACCCTCCGTGTGCCAATGTATCCTGACATTGCTTGCATTCAGTGTGTCACTCGTGTCCTGAATGTCTGGAGAATCAACATTGTTGTTGTTGGAGTCCTCCTCTGGCAGGTAGATGAAAGAGGTGCTCTCCTGTGTTTCAAAGCCCTCCTCATCCTCACTCTCTGCAACTGACCTGCTACTCACTAATAATGCCATGCAAATAAGTCAAGCCAGAAAACAATAATAAATGACAGCTTCTTTAACTCTCAGATATAATATTGTAATGTTGATGTCCTGACATAATAGAGACATGTATAACAGTTATTTCCAATGTTGAATTTGGTTCAATCTAGTATATTGTCCTCCAAATATTCTTGTAGTTCTTCAAATTCAAATTCTTCAAATATTGTACTTATTAGCCATAATTAGGTAAGTGTGATGTGCATATTCTCCCTTTTTTGATACTTCCAATATGATATCATACTGCAAACACTCAATGTCTATACTGTCCTCAGTAAATGCACTCAGGATATGCAAAACCTAAAGCCTTCTTTAAAGCTTTATCAAATAAAAGTTTACCATCTTATATGCAAGTGTTTATTAAAAAGACACCGTGTAGGAGTATTGGGGTTGAGCCCAGTACCCTTTATGAGAGAGTCTACTTCACCTCACTCTCAACATTCCTCATAAGCCTTGACCAATCAGAGTCATTCATCTCTCGGCCAGGATTTTGCATGTTTGTTTAAACAAGAGAACATTTTTGTATGCCTTTCAGGAGCTCTGTGATTGGTTAAACTTCAAGACTATGAATGACTGCTCTTAGTAAGAGGATGCTGTAGTGTAGAAGTAGTTATGGGTATCCTACTGTCAGGTGCAGTGTATATTTTACTATGGGTCAAATACTCTAACAGCTGATCATCCTCAAATAGTATTTTAACAAAAGGAGCTTGTTTACTGGGCCATCAATTTTAATTTGTGAAGGGTAGTTTTAGTTTTTATACTTAAAACTTGCTTAATGGTCCCTGACTTTGCTATGTAGTTGAAATATGAATCAGTATCATGTATGATTGTACGTGGTTTCCAGGGTTGTAAATATGTCACATTTGTCCAATTCCCTCAGAATTTGAAATTCCAAAATGTATCCATTCTCTGCAGCATTTTCATGAGAAAATCTATTCCTTGCCCATCCAACACCTATTTCTAGAAGAACATATATCCAATCATACAATCTACTAGTACTGTAGTACAGTTTATGAAGAATTGTCTGATGATGACCTTCGTCAATGTATCAATTGTCACAATGTCAAGTTGAGTAGAGGTATCATAAAATACAGATCTTGATATAACACATTCTCCAATCTTAAGTCACACTTTGATTATCATGTGAACGTGACTGAACTGATATCACAGAAAAAGCAAATGTATAAAATATCCTTCTATTTTAAATTGAGTGTATAATAAAACAGAATCTGCTTTTGTTTTAAGATTTTCATTGGTCCGATGGTTTTGACCTTTTATTTCATTGTTGTTCACGATGATTGTGCATTTAGATTCTCTTCCTTTTGGGTGTATATATTTTGAATTCTGTACTTTAAATTATTAATCCAGTTATTATTATTATTAACTTAGAATGTCTAAATGTGCACTGTACATCTGTACAATTCTGAGAGAAAATACACGAGTGCAAATTCAAACATTAGAGCAGGGACTATTCGCTTGAAATCCTCTTTTGGAAATCAAAAACGTCATAGAGTTAAATGTGTTGTAGTTAAATATAAATACAAAGCGGAGTATCTTGACATTGAGATAAAAAGAATCATATATATAAAACAATGAATATCATCTGGAAATAATCAAAAGAATAAGTAACTGAAAACAATTAAAACATGGTATAAAATAAAGCTGTATTATAATGCACCTCCACATGTTCTCATATGAGACGTCCTGGTAATACCTGAAGTATATTTCAATAGTACATATTTGCTATCAAACAATCCTTTTAAGTTATAGTGTTAAGGGTTTACACAGGACATGTTGAATGTCATTCAGTGGGTCACTTTTAATAAGAGTTGCTCAACATAGAAATAAACATGTCTAAAATCTTAGTTTACAAATGTATATTTAAATTACTGCCTTTCATTTCCTTGGCAAGGGATTATATTTACACTCCCCTCCACGATTTTCAAAGATTCATCATCAATTTTCGAACTATTGTAATTGAGGGAAAAAATTTGAAAAATTTGGAGGTGTTGGAAATAAAGTCAAATTACCTTTCCATCAATAGTATAAGTATTTTTATCACAGGTTAAGTAAATAAAAATTCAAAGATGAAGAGGGTTTAACACGTAGTTCAATGGGGGAGCTAAGGTTGCCAAACTTATTATGGAGGGGAGTGTACATGATGTTTTTGCCAAATAAAATAGAATTGTAATTTTGCTTTCAATTGTATATCATTCTGACCCATCATCAAAGGAAATTTTATCACTTTAAATCAAGACATCAATAATATAGACTCTAAAATCCCTAGGTCTAAAATACATTTAAAAATCAACATGTGCTTCTTTAAGTGCAGAACAAATTATTGACTTGACCCGTTTTACATAGTTTAGTATCAACATATAATTACAGTATAAACCTGTGTATAAGGAACACCCTCAACACTGACCAAACTTGTTCCTTGTAGACAGGTGTTCCCTTCAGAGAGGCTTCATTTACATGTAAATCAATGGGACCTAGTTCTTCTAAAAATTGTTCCATATAGAGAGGTCCTCCTTTAAGGGAGGTGTTCCAGCATACAGGTTTTACTATATTATCAAAAAAATCAAACATTCTTATCATAAATCCACTCACAGTTTTTATTCAAACATGAATTTAATGATTGAATATGGGTGTGACCCATGGCTTTGTACAGTCTCTGTAAAGCCCTTAGATATTCACCCTTTTCTTATGGCCAATATCATTATATGGGAGCATGCATGGACATTAAGACAAAATCCGATCCAGAAACCAAGAAGGGGGCCCACATGTCAAAACTGAAAAAAATATTTGGGCCACAATTTGAAAATTCAAGGCCCATTTTTATGATTATTTAGAAAAAGGCCAAGTAATGACCAAAAATGCCCACTAATTGTGGCCCAAACATTTTTTTGGACACAATTTTTTTTCTGGGCCTACCAAAGAGGGGGGGGGGGCATGCCTGGATTCGCCAGTGTTTAATATCATAGTGATCATGGTATAAATATCCACATGATGATGTTTAGTCTTTTTGATAACACTGGCTACTTCTATACTGCCACCTATAAATGAGAAATGAATTAATCTTGCGTTTAAATGAAACACAAATGTAGAAATGGACATAAGTTCATTGTTTCCTATCAGCATAATGTGTGGCTTTGTCAGAAAATTAAAAACAAACATAAACTAATTCATGAAATATGACTATTCCCTTGAGATTTTGCATGTTACTCAGAGCTAGTTGATCAGTAAACAAAAAATATAAAGGAAAACACTGTAAAATATCAAAATACTAAATCCTAAAAGGACGATTCTCGGTTTGGAGAAGAGTCTCCTGGGCTAATACTTTTTTCATGAAAAATATAGAAATATTACCCAAATTAAACTATGAATATTCAAAAGGGGACATTTAAATCTACAAGATGTAAAAATAACAAATTGGTCTGAAGCAGGGATAACGCTCAATTAGACCGATTCAATAAAATACAAGTCTCGATTTGGGGAAAGAAGTTCATCAGTGTACTGCGCTAATATTTTTTTGCGAAAAATCTAGAAATATACCCAAATTAAATTATGACTTTTCAAAAGAAGACATTCAAATCTATATTATGTAAAAAAATCAAATTTGTCCGAAGCAGGGATAATGCTCATTTAGATTGATGAACTTCGTTCTCCAAACCGAGAATCGTCCTTTGCGATTTTTTGAATGGAAAACAATAAACCTAATTCCAAGGCCCTAAATAAAAGATGTATTTGGAAATACACTCACCTCATTTATATTGCCATTAAAAACAATAAATTGTTGAATAATGTCAGATGATCCTGCAATGGTAGAGTCTCCCATTCTTAATCATTGCTGTACTGGCTGCACAATATCACTTACTAAGCTGCACAATATTACTTAGCTGCATAGTATAACATATTAAGATGTATAATATTATCAAGCTGCATAATATCATTGATGTGGCTGCTCAATTTTGCTTATCTAGATGGGAAATATCATTAAGCTGCACAATATCATTTACTTAGCTGTACAATATCACTGTATCTGCACAATATTACTCAGCTGTACAATATCACTGATTTGGTTGCTCAATATCACTTACTTAACTGAACACTAGCACTTACTTATCCATTTTGTTCAGAGCCTAATATTCTGAAAATCTTGGAACAGTTCTCATGTGTTTCCTTCCACAAGTGATCATATAAACCAAAGTTAGTCATAGTTAAATGGAACAAGATCTATCCATCATTCATGAAACTGCATATATTTTAGTTAATGTCTAAGACTTAATTCTCCATGAAATCTGTAAAAAATTAGTTGGTTTTCAGGTGATATATCAATCATGAAATTGCATAGCACTGAGAACAGTCCTGCATCCCATATCCTGAGTTCATCTTTTGAATGTTTTAAACTCAATATAAAGTATTGCAATAAATGCCCTGATACAAAAAGAATGTTTAATCCTCCTCAAATACTGAGTCCACATAAATAATATATTTTAATGAAAGACTCCCAATATTTTTGAAATGATCTGCAGTTGGTGACCTGACCTTTAGAGGCACTGATATATACTTATTGCACTTATTACTAACTCCAGGGCATTAATTGGTAGGACATTTCTATTTCTCTGTGGCACAAATGCCTCCATAGAGGACTTTTTGATTTCTTCTAGTAGCACTGAATCTTTTGGTACTGAATATCATGGTACTAATTCCTTCCAGGACCATAAGCATTTCCAAGGATCCCTAAATATAGTATTGATTCTTTCATGTATGGCAGTGATTCCTTTATGTGGTACTGATCTGTTTATGTGGTACTCTTTCCTCTATGTGGCACTAATTCTTATATTTGGTACTGATGCCTTCATATTTTACTGATTCCTATGTGGTACTATCTCGTCATGTGGTACTGATTCATCAATGTGGTACTGATCACTTCTTTGGATACTGATTCCTCTATGTAGTATTAATTGTCTCCACAGATGTCGAAAATTGGTCATTTTATTTAACGTCCTTTCCTTTTTTTATTCATGATCCTAATGTTTTTGTACAGTTATAAATTGAATTCATTTTCAGCCAGTCACCAATCATTCAATTGTAACTGTATTTCTCATGTACTATACACGTTGACTTTTCATGTCTAGTTTCTATGATACCCTGTGTAACTATTGTATAGCAGACATCATTCGATTCATATATCTCTCTTCAAAAGCACCTACAGGTACTACTATAAAACAACACCAGATTTAACCTTTAGCATGACTAACATGTTTTGATGTTTTCCCTAAATGACAAGCTGACAAATTGTCCCACTCAACCAATCACAACCAAGAACTTTTTATTATTTTTTGTATGCATTCTCCATTAGTTTGAGAATGGAAATGGTCGGGCATACAGCCTCGCTGAAATACCACAGATTTTTAGTTTTATGTTTTATAAACATTATTATTGTTTGAAAGTATTCAATCCATGTTTATTGGGTTGTTGAAAGTCCTAGAAAAAATTTGAAAGGTATGACAAATCACTGAGCCATTTAAATACTGTAAACATGAGTGATCTGTGAGGATAACATAAAATCTATAACAATCTTATACATCATGTTACTATTGACATTTGTGCCACTCTGATCCTCCCTATAATACCATGTAAAAAAGTCAGTACATTTTCAGTATGTTTCAGTACAAATGCTCTCCAATCTCAAAAGTCTCTGGGGATAAATATGTAACCATGGCGCAACATTTTGGAAAAAAATGCTTTCTCTGGTGTCAGTATTACTACATTTGATAATAGAGAGGGGGTGACTTTAATACCATTACTGTAATAAAATTATGATGCTTTGGGCTATTTAACCTGCAATTTTTATTGACATGCAATGACAATTTTAAACTAAAAAGTCCAAATTTCAACTTCAGCTGAAAAAGAAAATGATGTGTAATGATTAGTAATGATGTGTAGGGGAGATTTACTTGGCCGTCTATCCATCAATTAAGCAGCTATATGACTTGCAAATCTAAATAGTCGAATCCTGTAATCTATCATATTTATTGATCAGAACCTCTCAGGCATTACCTGGCATTTACTCTAAGCAGTTGTAATACACAGCGCCTTATAAACCGTGATCTTGCATTTCAGCAATGATGGTTGATAGTCTCGTTCCATGCTTTTTCATTAGTTTTGGTCATTTATTACATATATTAAAAAATATCAAAAATATTCATTTGAGTTAAGTTACAAAATAACAAGTTATGTATTGTTGTTTTTCATTATACATTTGTTTACATTTACATTTAAAGCATACCACAATTTTATTATATTAAAGCTAATAGAAACAACTGATAAGCCCATCTTTGGAATATTTCAAATTGATGCCGGTTGAAGATGGAGTATAATAAAGTACAGCTTCAAAACCTTGCAGCATTTCACTTACCTTAATCAGATCTTTCACCTTCCGAGATTCCCTGTAATCTGGCGGCAAACAGCGACTTAGATCTTTATGCTCAACATTTGAGCGGTAAGTCCTAAATTCCTCATCAGCATGATCAGAAAGACATCCTAAATGTTTTGATAAAGATTTGCCCTTCCTACGAGAGCTAGCAATCTTTTTTGCCCTTTGAGTTCTAATTAGCTCCTTTTTACGATTTAAATTTTGTAATTGTTCACTATGTTGATCTTTATCCTGGGGATTATCTTCCCCTGATGTGTAGCCGCCATCTTTGTCCAGGATGTTATCATCCTCAGGCCAGGCTTCGTCTACATGGAGTTGTATAGCAGCCAAATGAGCAGACTCCTCTTTGGTACATGGTATTTCACCACTTACTACGAGTTGTTGCAACTGAAACATACAAACATATCTAGTGGTCAGTATATCATGGAGTCTTGTATTGAGTCTAATTGTGACCCATTATTTGTCCAATTCACCAATCTCAATATACATATATGCACATGCTAGCTCCTCAGTCAGGGGATATGTCGGAGGTCCATACAACAGGCCTGTAGCAAGGGAGGTTCAGGGAGAGCGCGTGAACCACAGTTGGCCACTATTATTTTTAAATCATGCAATTTTTCACCGTTCTGAGCACTATCACTAACATCATCACTAGATGTAGAAAACTGTTGACTGAAACTGTTTATGATCAGAAATGCTTAGAGCTGATTGGTAGTAGATACTCTCTATGATTTTGATGAAAGGAACATTTAATGAAAATAAACGTACTGATTAAGCCAAAAGCAAGCAATATGTGATAAAAATTCAAAATATCCATTTTGAAGCTCTATACATGAAACTAAAAAAATAATTTCATGTATATGGAAGCTACTCAAATAAAGACATGTTCCAGCTATTTTCCAGAGTCATAAGACTGCACCAATATCATTTCATTAATTCTGAAGTATACAATATTTATACAGTGCCTATATTTCTAACATCCAAACTCAAATTGTCATTTCTTATTAAAAAAAACCCAGATAGATTTCTCTTAAAAGGGATGCTTTTATGTTTTTATATTTGAATACCATTTCATTATCAATCTCTGTATCAATGGATCTGCCATGGGTGCTTCATAAAACAACAAATACATTGTATATCTATGAAAATCAAAAACGAATAAGTTAATCCAGATATTGAAAGCATTAAAGCACAATCAAAGGACGATTAATATGAATAAAAATCAGTGATAGCAATAAAAGGATCCAATGCGACAAATATACCAGAAAAGAAAATACATGTAACATCAAAAATGGCCCACTTTAGTGATCACCATTCTTTATAGTTGTTATACTTTAAGTGGTTTTGATTGTGATTTGTATCTGTTGACATTTAACATCACAAATGAACAATACATAAAACAATTATCCACTTCATATATATTTCATTAAATTATATTTCTGCATATTGATGTTTACTAAGTGCTTTATTGCTACTTGTAGATACATTTAGATTGACAGAGAGACAGACAAGGGGGCGATTCCTTTAGATTAACATGTGAAGCAAATACATAGATGTTCTGATTAATCTCAATAACAAAGCATCTATCTAACCAATAGGCTTTAGTTTTAATTAATCAAGCCCTCTTGACAATGCACTACCATGAACTTGACAATGCACTACCATGAACTTGATAATGCACTACCATGAACTTGACAATGCACTGCCATGAACTTGACAATGCACTACCATAAACTTGACAATGCACTACCATGAACTTGACAATGCACTACCGTGAACTTGACAATGCACTGCCATGAACTTGACAATGCACTACCATGAACTTAACAATGCACTGCCATGAACTTGACAATGCACTACCATGAACTTGACAATGCACTACCATGAACTTGACAATGCACTACCATGAACTTGACTATGCACTACCATGAACTTGACAAAATGCACTACTATGAACTTGACAATGCACTACCATGAACTTGGAAGTTTCTTTAAAAAATCTAATACTGTTAGACATTTAAATGCAATACTAACAAAGCATGACGACACATACTTATGTAAAACACAGTAGTTTCATTAGTGAATGGTATAGAAATAAGAACAAATTCAAATAGGCAATCCTACTTTAGGGAGCATCATAATCCTTTAAATATCTTTGGAAGTCAGTTTTGAGAGTTGACTGTAGTAGTTGTTTTATACAATTTGCAATGAAACTGTATGGTACTTATACTTGAATTAACAAGAGAATGATACCATAACAAGAGATTGGTACCATATAACAAGAGAATGGTACCATATCAAAAGAATGGTATCATATCAAGAGAATGGTACCATATCAAGAGAATGGTACCATATAAAGAGAATTGTACCATATAAAGAGACTGATACCATATAAAGAGAATGGTACCATATAAAGAGAATGGCACCATATCATACAAAAATATCAGATTGCATATACATCAGTGACACATACCATCTGAAGTACATTAACATATCAATATAATATATACCTGAGGCATATAGCCTAATTCAAAAAACCTGTCTAATCCGAACACCACTAGGACCAGCTTCAAGTGTTCAGATTAGCGGGTGTTCAAGGTTTCAAGATTTCTTAATATATCAGTCAACGTGAAATACCAAAATTAGCACTAAGAAAAAGAATTCAAAGTAGGAAATGTTCAGAAAAGGTGGTATTATGATATACAGGTTTTACTGTTTTAAAAATGAAATCAAACTATTGGAATGAATGCATATTATATATTTTTTTTCAATTCAATTCAATTCACTTTATTTCAAATGTTTCAAATACAGTGTTTTACATTGACATGAAAAGACACCCCGAGGGGTGTATAAGTTCCATGTTTAACATACAATATAGCATTTATTAAATTAACAGTCAGGTTATATGGAAACAAAAAAATGACAAAGCATAAGATGCATCACAATAAAATACAAGTAATGAGAAGAAAGCATTTTTCAAAGAAGATCTAATAATGACTTAGCAAATCAAACTTTAACTTTCGTTCAAATGATTTGATATGTTTAGACTTCTTGAGATCAAGTGAAAGAGTATTGTAAAGTAATGGGCCACTTGTTTCAATTGATTTTCTTCCAATTTCTGTTCTGAATTTTTTTACAGTTAAATTCTTATTAATTCTCGTGTCATGATTATGAATTGCGGTTCCTGGAACAAATAAATGTTTGAACTTTTGAAAAGGAAATTCTGGTGATTCTGAAACAGTTTTCTGAACAAAGCTAGCGGTTTGTAGTTTATTGATGTCAAATATATTCAATATTTTCAGTTTTGAAAAGAGAGGTCCTGAAGGAGCCAGACGATCAGAATAAGTGATAACTCTCAAGAATTTCTTTTGCAGAACATACAATTTTTGAATAAGAGTTTTTATGGCATTTCCCCATAAAAGGTTACAATAGCTTAAGTAGGAATATATCATGGAATAATAGATAGTGGTCATTGTATTTAAAGTCAGTCTATGTCTAGTCTTGTAGAGAAGGCCTATCAAGTTAGAAATTTTTGTACAGATAGCATTTATGTGAGATGACCAATTCAGCTTTGAGTCAATAATGACACCTAGAAAATTGATTTCTTTAACTTCGTCTATAGGTTGTTCATTAATTTTAAGAACAATATTGTTTTTATTAGGATCCTTCTTTTTATTAAATATCATATATTTTGTTTTTTCAACATTAAGAGTTAATTTATTAGATTTCATCCAGTTAGAAACATTTTTTAGTTCAGCATTCATATCTGAGACTAGAGTTTCAAAATTTTTATTGGTAAGTAGGATATTAGTATCATCAGCATATAAGACAAAGTTTAGTTTATTTGATATTAAATGTATGTCATTTATAAATATTATAAACAAGAGGGGACCTATGACTGAACCTTGAGGGACACCATATTCAACTTTATTTTTACCGGATCTATATTTAATATCTGTAGTTGTAAATTGATCAATCAAGACATCTTTCTTAACAATTTCTGTGACCATAATTCGATTTTCGAGATAACTTTTGAACCAGGAAAGAGCTGTTCCACGAATACCATAAAATTCAAGTTTTTGTAATAATATTTTGTGATCCACTGTATCAAAAGCCTTAGTCAAATCAATGTATATCCCAATGCTAGTTTCCCCGATATCTAATGACTTACGAATATTTTCAATGAAATTTAGAAGTGCCATATAAGTTGAGTGCTTCTTCCTGAAACCATATTGTTGTAAATATAAAATTTCATATTTTTCTAAAAATGTTGTCACTTTTACATGAACAATTTTTTCAAGCACTTTAGAAAATACACTGAGAATTGAAATTGGTCTATAGTTGTTGAATTTATCTTTAAGGCCTTTCTTATAGATTGGAATTACTCTAGCTATTTTTAATGCATCAGGAAATGTACCAGTAGTTATTGATAAATTGAATATCTGAGTAAGAGGAGTTGACAAAGATTCGTTCAGTGTTTTCACTACTCTGGGTTCTATATCATCTATAGATGCAGCAGAGTCTTTTAAAGATTTTAATTGGGCCATGACATCAGTTTCAGTAATAGGTGTTAGAAATATTGAGTTATTATTTGAATTAGTTTTCTTTAAATTTACCATTGGATCTAGATTATTGTTTATCTTTTTTGCAAGTTTATGACCAATTGAACTAAAAAAATTATTGAAATTCTTAGCTATGTCGAGACCATCTGAGATTTGTGTATTTTCAAGATCAAATGTATCGTTAATATTAGATTGATTTGGATTTCTGTTTAAGATAGCGTTAATTACATTCCAAGATTTCTTTATATTGCCTTTATTTGTCTCAAATTTATTTCTGTAATATGATTTTTCTGCATTTCTAATGACATGGTTAAGCTTATTTTTATATCGTTTATATATTGCATTGTTTTCTAAAGTAGGATTCTTTTTATATTTTATGAAAAGTTTGTTTTTATATTTAGCTGAAATAATGATCCCGAGAGAAATCCAAGGTTTTTTATGATCATTATAGGTTTTAATTATTCTGGATCTGTTTGGTAGACATCTATTATAAATATCAGTAAAAATCTCAATGAAGGAGTTATATGCATTATTCACACAATTTGGATCAAGTATATCTTGCCAATTAATATTTGCGACCTCATCTTGGAGTTTGGAACAATTTTCATCATTTATTATTCGATATTGAATCTTTTGCTTTTTAATTTTAGGTGTTTCATTATTATTACTTACAGCATATATTGGAAAATGATCTGATATGTCATATAAAATTATACCAGATTGGGTGATATTATTTGCATTGGTAAAAATGTTATCAATTAATGTAGCACATTTACTAGTGATTCTTGTAGGTCTATAAATTAAAGGCATAAAATTATTAGTATA